AATGCTCGTCCGGCAAGTAGCCTACGACGCGCTCACGGCGCTCGGCCGTGAGCCCAGCCTTGCGCAGCAGGAACCAGCCGGCCACGTCGTCAAGCGTAGCGAGGTCAACCTCGTTCTCGCGTAGTTGTTGTAATCCCGCATCGAATCGCACGAGCCAGTCCGTCATGCGTTCTCCACGGCGGCGATGATGCTGAGCCGACTCGAAAAACTTCTCTAGCGTCTCTCCCTTCTGTACCGGCTTTTGTTGGCCTAGGTTTGTCTCGAGATGCTTCAGCACATTCTCGATGCCCTTCTGGTTCCGATCGCGCTTCTTCTCGTTTGCCTCCTTAATGTCGGCGTCCGGCGGCGGGTGGAGTTCCTGCTGCGTCATGTTGAGTGCAGCCGATCTGGCGGTACCCGTCAACCTCAAGACTAACTTCGATGCCAAGCTTTGTGTCACTTCCAGGTTCTCGCTGAGCTTCCACAATTTAACTTCTTGCTTGTAATCTCGCCACTTCGCTGGATCTCCATTCCAGCTTGGTATCACTGACTGGTTATGATTGAACTCCGTCATTTTGTCTACGAATGAACTGTAAGGAATACCAAAATACGAAATGAAATTGAAATCAAAGTCGATGCCGTAATCGATGTCGGCGCCTGCCGTGTCGATGAGCTGGTAGGGGATGTAGACGTTGGGCTTGTCGCTGTCGCTGACGGCACTGATGCTGAAGATGTCGGCGCTTGCCCATGTAGGAGATAGGCTGTAGGGGATCTCGGCGCTTGCCGATGTTGAGGGTAGGCTTCCGGTGAAGTCGCTGACGTCACTGGTGCTGTCGCAGGTGGTGTTGAACTTGTAGAGGCAGGTGCTGGCGTCGCTGACGCTGTCGCTGAACTCGCAGGGGCAGGCGCTGGCGTCGCAGACGCTGGCGTGGGAGAAAGTGTTCGGGATGTCGGCGCTTGCCGAGGCAGAGAGCTGGCAGGGGATATAGGCGTTGGGCTCTGCGCTGTCGCTGACGGCGCTGATCACGAATGTGAAGATGAACACTGCGCGGCGGCAGAGCTGGACGGCGCTGGCCGTCGATTCCGTGGGCAGATGAGTCGCAGACGTCGTCGTGGAATATGTAAGGCCCGAAGGCCGGGGCAGCGAGCCTCGCTCCAAGCTACCACTGTGATATGGAAGACCCGCAGGGTCGGATATCGCTGATATCGCTTTGTCGAATGATCGCGCGGCGAATCAATCTGCGTAGCTCTAAGGCCAAGGGCCCTAGTATAAATCTCGAACCGAAACAGGCAGCGGGAAAAAGGGTGAGAGCAGCAAGAGCAGGGACAGGAATGGATCGGGGAGTGAGAGGAAATCACATTGGTGTGTCGTGGGGGGCCTCTCGTGGGCCTCTTGGAGGCGGTTTGGGCGCTTCTTGGAGGCCTCTTGGGGCCTCGTGGGATATCCTTTGGGCCTTTTGGAGGCCTCTTGGGCGCCTCTTGGGCGCCTCTTGAGGCTCCTGGGGGCTTCTCGGGGATATCGAATGTTCGGTTCGTTGTCTCCTGCTTGGGCCCCTCTTGGGTCCGTCTTGGGGCCCTCTTGGGCTGTCTTGAGCGCTTCTTGGGCCATCTTGGAGCTCTCTTGGGCCGTCTTGAGGCTCTCTTGGAGGCGTCTTGGGCTGTCTTGGGGCGGTCTTGGGAGCCTATTGAGCCGTCTTGGAGCGCCGGAAAGCTGAAAATGCGATAAGACCAACATCTTTCGAACATCTTCGTAAGATCGACGATTATGGCCTCTTGGGGCTCTCTCGGGAGGCGTCTTGGAGCTCTCTTGGGGCCTCTTTGGGCCCTCCTGGGCTGTCTTGGAACGATCTTCGTGCGCCTTAGGCACCCTTGGCCTCGGCAGTGCGAACACGGCATACTTTGCGAAGGTTTATGGCTTCGGGGATGCGACTATTGCATACTTTACGGTGGTTGTTGCCTCGGGGACGCAGTAATTGTTTAGTGTGCAAGGGTCTGTGGCCTCGGGGACGCGAGCATTGTGCAATTTACGAAGAATTATGGCCTCGGGGGCGCGAGTCTCATGTATTTGTTCGTGTCCCACGCCCCCCCCCCCCCCGGAATTCAGGCAACGTGATTCCGGGGTGGTAACCGAGCGGTGTGGGGCTTCCCCCCCGTCGCGCGGATTTCAAACATTCGCAATAGGCAGCAGAACGCAGTATTGTAATTTTGGAGAGTTGAAACTGCAACTCGTGCAGGGAGCAGCACAGTTTGGCCTACATCCTGGTGGCACCACAAGGGGGCCGATGGATTTCTGTTGCCATCTAAAGAGTCTCAGACCGTTGTCTTCTAAAGGGCAATTCCCCGCAATGAATATGCATTTTTGTGGAGACCTATGAAGAAGGAATTTTGAGGACGGGTTTATTACAACATCGTTGGCATTTCTTGATTTCACATTGGTCCGCCTCCTCGTCTTCCTTCCCGTGCGCCCATTCGTCTCCCTTCTCGTCCTCCTTCTCGTCTCTCCTCCTCGCCGGCTTCCTCCAATTCCCTTTTTCCCCCTCCCTCACTACAGGTTCTCGTTCTCGCCGTGGGGAAGGGGTCTTGGAAAAAGGGTTTCGGGGGAGGGGAGAACAAGACGGAGACAGAGGGATAGGATGCTGGGGACTTGAGCAAGCTAAGTGCCTCGCGCGCCATATCTGGCATCCTACCCTTCCCACCCATCCCCTCCCTTTTGCGATGGAAGAACTCGTGTCCACTGGGTGTGGTGCAGGATTCTGATTGCTCCCAGCCATCCTGTGGTGTTGGGTCGAAGAGGGAGCGGCCCCGCGTTCCTTCTCATCCACCTCCTCCACTTCCTCACCCTCCCGTTCCTGCCTCCTTCCGTCACCCCCGCTATTTTGGCACATTCCTTACGCGTTTCGTGCCCCCATGGGGAGCTCCACCGAAGACCCTAGTGGCATGGTGCGCATTCCGCGCACCCTTTCATTTTTCCACACCCCTCACACGTTTCGTTACCCCATAGAGAGCTCCGCCGAAAGCCCCAGCTGCATTGATCGCATAGGGGGCCACATGCGAACCCTACCCCTACCCCTACCCCCTACGATTTCTGAGGGGGGGGGGGGGGTCACTTCGCTCGGGAGCTTCCGAACGAAGTGAACCCCACCCTCCCCCTCTGAAATAGTGGGGGGTAGGGGTAGGGTTCGCATGTGGCTTCCTATCGCATGCCGCCCCCCTATGTTTTTGCACACCCCTCACACGTTTCGTGGCTCCATAATGAGGGAGCTCCACCGAAGATCACAGTGGCATTGTTCGCATGCCGCCCCCCCTCCAGTTTGCCACACCCCTCACACGTTTCGTTACCCCATAGGAAGCTCCACCGAATGCTCCAGAGGCATGGTTCGAATGCCGCCGCCCTCCATTTTAGCACACACCTCACACGTTTCGCGGCCCCACAGGGAGCTCCATTGAAGGCCCCAGTGGCACCGTTCGCATGCCGCACCCCCTCCACTTTACCACACCCCTCACATGTTCCGTGGCCCCATGAGGAGCTGCACCGAAACCCTCAGTGGAATGGTTCGCATGCCGCCCCCCCTCCAGTTTGCCACAACCCTGTGGCCCCATAGAGAGCTCCACCGAAGGCCCCCGTGACATGGTTCGCATACCGCACCCCCTCCACTTTACCACACCCCTCACGCGTTTCGTGGCCCCATAGGGAGCTCCACCGAAGACCCCAGTGGCATGGTTCGCATGCCGCCCCCCCTCCACTCTGGCACACCCCTCGCACGTTTCGTTACCCCATTGGGAGCTCCACCGAAGGCCCCAGCATGGTTCGCATGTCGCCCCCCGTCCAACGTGGCACACCCCTCACACGTTTCGCGGCCCCACAGAGAGCTCTACCGAAGGCCCCAGTGGCATGGTTCGCATGTCGCCCCCCATCCACTTTGGCACACTCCGCACACGTTTCGTGGCCCCTTCGGCAGCTCCACCGAAGGCCCCAGTGGCACGGGTCGCATGCCGTTCCCCCCTCCTCTTTGGCACACACGTTTCGTGGCCCCATAGAGAGTTCCACCGACGGCCCCAGTTGCATGCTTCGCATACCGCCCTTATATTTTTGCACACCCCTCGCACGCTTCGCGGCCCCATAATGAGGGAGCTCCACCGAAGGCCCCAGTGGCATGTTTCGCATGCCGCCCCCCTCAACTCTGGCACAAACCTCATACGCGTCGTGGCCTCATGTGGGGCTCCACCGAAGGCCCCAGCGGCATGAATTGCCCCCCCCCTCCCCTCTGGCACACACCGCATACGTTTCGTGGCCCAATAGGGAGCTCCACCGAAGGCCCCAGCGGCAGCGCCCGCACGTCGGTCCCGCTCCATTGCGGCGCACCCTTCGCGCGCTTCGTGCCCATAGGGAGCTCCTCCGAAGGCAGTTCCCGCAACCGCCGTATTCACAACTGCATATGGTTGGGTCCTGCTCAGGTGATTGAAATGACCCCATCGTGCGATGCGCAATCCAAAGAGGGGCGTCTTGCACATGGGAAGAAGAGGAGTTGGCGGCTGAGCAGGAGGAATAGGAGGACGGTGAGATAGAAGGAAGAAGAACCAGCAGCAACAGGATCAGGATGAGTAGGAAGAGCAACAGGAAACAGAGGAGGGGAACAGAGGGGACAGCGACGACGTTGAAGGAGTCGCACCTAGAAGTGTGGCCAACGTTGCAGCGGTAACGCCTCTTTACAAACACCGAGAGCGTTCCGACCGAACGTAATTTAGGAAGTACGTGCCGAGTACTGAAACCGTCTGTGTAACAGAAACAATGTGCGGAAGAGGCGGGGCAAACCCGAACAGCATCACGGGAGAGAGGAGAGTGCTACTATTGTTGCGTTGTTGCAGGGGGAGGTGAAGGCGGGGGGAGAGCGGAGAGGACTGGAGGGCAGGAGGGCCAGAGGAGGGCTGGAGGAGTGGGGTGGGAGGGGAGGGAGCGGGAGAGGCAGATGGGGGCATTCGGGGGGTGGCGCCAAGAGACCCCCAAGCGCGCCCTGCCGCAGATGACGAAGGCGCCGCGGACGCCGCCGGCGAGGGCGCCCGAGCCGAAGGAGTCCGTCCGCCGCCCCTCGTCCGCGCGCAAGCGGGTCGTGAGGGAAGCGGTCCTGGAGGTGTTTGGCCGCTCTCGGGCTCCACAAAGGCCCTCCCCGGGCCCCAGGACCGTCAACAGAACGACGCGGGATGAGGAGCTGGTCCCGGGGATGGGCCCCGGGATCCGGAATCCGTTTCCTAAAGTACCTGCTTCTCTCATGGCAGCACCGCCTTTCGGCGGCGCGCAGCGGGGTGGTGTGAGGGGGGCGGCCTCCTGAGAGAGCGGGGGGGCCCCTCAGAAGGCGGGGGGCCCTTCTGCCCAGCGCCCGGATGCCTTCAAGGAGGCTTCTCGCCAGGAGGGTTTCCGAGAAGCCTTTCGCCTTCTAGGAGAGCCGCCCCCTCGCACCACCCCCTCGTGCGCGCCGCCAATGCCTCCTTCTCCCCATCGGAGCGCAAGACACCCTCCAGACGGGGCCAGGGTGTCTCCGCGGCCCGTGGCCCGTCTGCCGTGCGCAGACAGGTCGCGCCCGCGTCCCGTGCCAGGACATCCGACGATTTTGTTGATGTCAATGGTTGCGTGCTTTTCCTCGATTTCGGCCCCTGGGGGCTCTTCAAAAGCTGAGCTGGGACGCAAGAGGGCTGCACCCTGGGAACAGGGGTCGAGGCCTCTGGGGACCGCGGGTTGGAGAGATTCATCCGACGGAGGTCTGAGTTCGACCGGTGCTCGCCACGACGCGAGGGGGGTGGGGAGGGAAACGGGTCCTCGACCTTGGGGAGTTCCCAAGGGCAAATTCTCGCGCGGGTGGTTGTAGGGGGTGACTTTGGGGTTGAAGGAAGGGGTTTAGGGCTCTTTTTGGGCCCCTGCTGGCTCCAAAAGGGGCCCCAGAGGGTCCCTTCACGTGCAAGCTGTAGGAGTATCATGTGAAGCATATGTGAAACAGTGCACGTGCACATGTGTACTGCGTGCGCGCCCGCCTCCGCAGCCATAGGTTCGAGGGCAGGGAAGGGCGGAAAGTTGTGCCTTACGTCTGAGCCTGGCTATTGACAACAGTACCTTTATCTTGTCTCTGCGTCGATCGTCATGTGCGGCTTTCTGACGGGAAGGGAACCTCAAACAGGTGCAACGATCCAAGCATGGAGTCGAATCCATCACGGACCCGGGTCGAGGACGCATTGCGCAGTGAGTTGGAAGTTTTGAACGTGAGGGCGTTGGGTGCGGAAGAGCTGCTGACCGACATCCGGAGCAGTAGAGGCCGCAGTTTCATTGAAGAACATGGGAGGTTCATCCTGGCATTGTCTGGCTTGACCAACCCAGTTGGGCGAGGGCGCGAGCACGAAAAGCCAGCGGCATTGGTACAAGAGGAAAGCCGTCTTGCACACTCTGAGAGCCGTCGCGCGCAAGAAAAACACCATATTGCACACACTGAGAGCCGTCGCGCTCGAGACGAAAGCCGTCTTGCACACATCGAAAGCATTCGTGTTGAACGTGCCGCCACGAAGTGCGCCGAACTGGCCGCCGAGCATGAGGTAGCCCAAGCAACACCCAACGCATCCTTGCCTTGCAGACTCCGTTCTCGATACCGCCGCGTCCGTCGGGCTGGAACGATGTAGAGGTGGAGTCTTTGCGTGCCGAATTGGCGCAACGTAGTCTGCAGCCACATTCCGTGACTGCGGTGTCCAATTTGCTTGCAAACGAGCTATCGGAGGAGAGGGCCGCAGACCAGCGGCTCGAGCTGGCACAAGGGGCCGGTGATCCCAACTTGCACGCTTACGCCGTATTTCGGTAAGCTGCCGAGATGCAACTTCGATGCCAAGAGTTTGTGGCACAACAGGAGGCCGAGCGGTTCGCTCGGGACGCAGCGTCTGCAACCACACAGGTAAACGCCATTGCCGTCATGGGTGCCGATATCAAAGAGCTTCCCAAGGTCACAGACGAAGCTCTTGCGATCACAGCGGCGGCCGATCGTCTTACCAAAATCATCGAGTGGATACATGAGGCTGGGTCGAACGTAGCAACGACGTCCCCCCGGTAAGGTCTATTGGCAAGCGGCGCTGGATCACGCCACGGATCATCATGTGTTGTTCTGTGCAGCATCCCGATCGTGCGCCCCTTGGTCGCACACTACTACAGGCCCATTCCAGTAAAAGGTTTGCCTGTCGTTTTCCGGTTGTCGCCTCTAGTGCTGGCCGCCCTGCCAAAGGGTCTACGCGCGCGAGCGATCTGCAACGACAGGAGCACCAGCATGACGACTGACTACTTGCTGATGCTGTTGCTGATGAAAGCGCGCCGCGGCACGCACACGAGCGCGCAGAGCTCCTGGGATCGATCGCCGGCGCGTCGCAAGCGTGCCCTGGTGAGGATATCGAGGTGGAAATTGAGCAGTGGAGCCGGCCCGTTTCGCATCTAGGTCGTTTTGGCATCGCGGTGCTGGACTACGGCATCGCGGCAATTCCCGCGGACGAGATCGTGTCGGTATTAGATTCGAACCAGAAGTTTGGTTTGGATCGGGCATCGCTCGCGCGCCAACGCGGCGTGGGTTCTGTCAGGCCTGATGACGCAGCGCTGTTTGACCACTGCGTCGAGCGCCTAATTGGATTGGCGCGCGTCGAGGGAGGAGCTGCGCCGCGCACCCGGCGGCAAGGTCTGAAAGCAACGGGGTCTGAGTCAGACCCAGCCGCGCTCGCAGCCAAAAGCGCCGGGAAGGCTGCCGGAAGGCCCTGCTGGTTCTGCTCGTCGGGTCGCCGTTGCGTCACTGGGAAAACGCGCCCACTGATCGTGGGGCCCCGCCGACGGGAGGGGGCTTCAAATTTGGCCAACTGGGTCACAAATCAGCAGACTGTCCGGCAGTGGGGCGCAGGCCTGGCGAGCAGCCAAAGCCAAAAAAAAATGGCCCGCAAAGGGCGGCAGCGTCTCGCGCAGCGCGACGGCGAACGGGCCGCCATCGCAGTCGCGGCGCCCCAAGGCCCATCCGTCCGAGAAGGCGAACGCGGCTGACAGAAACAAAATGGCCAGCGCCACGATGGCGTTGAAGGCGAAGCAAAGGCGCGATGCAAATCTGAGAAGCGTTGCAGGGCCTCACCGGAGCGCCCAAAGGAGGCACTGCTGTCGCGCCCACGCAGGGTGCGCCTCCCGAGTCGGGAGGTCGAACGGCTCTCGTGCAGCGCGCCATCGAAGTCGTATCGTCTTATATGAATGCGCCGCCGATGGCGGCTGCCAGGGGCCTGCCTGCCGCGGGCCGGCGGATGCTTGGCAGCGGCGCCAGCGCGGCGTTTTGCCGTCGAGCAGAATAAGGCGCCAAGTCGGTTCGAGTCGGTCTTACAAGAGTCAGGCGAAGCCCGCTCTGCAGCCATCCCAATGGCGATGTCATTGAGGAAGGGCCACCTCTGTGCTCCGCTGGCGCCATCGGCAACGAAGCTCGCTTCAGCACGCAATGGCGCCCCCATGCGGGCGCGAAGCTGGCGCAATTGACGCCAGACTAAGAAGAGAAAATACCAGAGGCGTTCGCGAAGGGATCGCACTCGATCTCACCGAGGACGGCAGGCAACGCCCCGCACTTAACGGACCAGCAGGCGCAGGCGATCACAGCGCAAAGGGCTGGCCAGGCCAACTCGGCCAGCACCCTGCACCGCTCCGCCGCGCACCCAAACGAGGGCGCGCCCCCCGGCAACGCGCGCGTCACAGAAGTCCAAGGGGAAGGGGGGGCAGAGAAGAAACAGGCCGCCCGAGGCCAGGTCGCGAACCCGCGCTCGCTGCGATCCACCGCGCCCAGGACAAGGCGCCCGCTCTTGCCAGCAATCGCACCGCAGGTAAAAGAAAACCACCAGTCGCACCTCCGCCCCCCGACTTCGAGGGTCGACGGCGCGGGGGGCGATTCGCGCCCCCCGGCCCCGGCGCTCGAAATCCGGGCGCAACGCCGAAAATATGCACGCGCGCGTTTTGACGCACATGATTTGTTGCCAGATTTTGACCCCGCGTGAGTGCATTGCGATGAGGCAGATAGGCAATGCGCCGGCCCCGTGAGGGAGGGTTTCGGCCGCCGCGCAAGCAGGTGTGAGCAGCGATGATTTGTTTCCGCTGTGGATTTCTGTGGGTCTTTACCTGCCGCTCCAAATGGGGCCGAGTGGATTGTGGTGTTCATGCGTGGTGATGGTGCGTTTTGATATGAAAACGCCAACTATTGCACCACCAGTAAAAACTCTGTACGTCATGGTATACATTGCATGCAAAGTGAGCTCGGGGATCTCGGCAACAAATTCGCCATTCACAGCGGCGAGGACAATTGTTGGAATTCCCCTGAGGTTCGCGAGCACACGGAGGGAAAACGGAGGCAGGCTACATCTTTCCGTTTCAGGTACGCACAGCACGAATTCACGGCAGGGGGTTGCGTTCCGCGCCCATTGATTCGCTCGCGTTTTCGCTTCCGCCCGCAGAATCCCACGGCGGGTCAGGGGATTTGATTTTCCCGGAATCAAGAACATATACTCCTCCTTGCAATCGCATCATTTCGGCGGCCGCCCCCGCGCTCGTCTTCGATGCCACCCGCGCAATCTACGGCGGCTGGGAGGGGTTGAACATTGAGAGACAACGCAACCATGCGCTGCTTGCCTGCGCTCCATCTGAGGCGATTGTTTATGCGCCCCTTTTCGCGCCCCCCCGCGCAATCTGCGGCGGGCCGGGGTGGCGGGAATTCACGACAAGGCCATGGTCTCTTGCCCCTAAACGCATCGATGCCGCTTCCGCTTCCGCTTCCGATTTTGCCACCGCCCGCGCAATCTACGGCGGGTGGGCGAAGCAGAACATTCAAAAACAGCCGTGGCCTCTCGCTTCCAAGCGCGCCGACGCCGCCCCCCCCCCTCCCCCCCCGCGCAATCAACGGCGGGCGGGCGAGGGGGGGCATTCGGAAAAAAAGGTCGTGGTCTCTTGCTTCCAAGCGCGCCGATGCGGCGACCGCGCCCGCACGCGCCGTCGACCTCGCCCGCGCAAGTCTGCGGTGGCTGGGGGGGTGGGGGGACATTCAAGCTATGGCCTCCCGCTTCCACGCCCGCGGTTGCGGCGGCCGTTTCCGCGCTCGTTTTCGCCCCCGCTCGCGCGGTCCACGCTGGCTTGGAAAAGCGGAAATTCACAGACAAAGGCCGCGGTCTCCTGCCCCCCAGACGCACCGATGCCGCTCCCGCGGAAAATTCCAGAAACAAATGCCAATTGCGGCGACCGTTCCCGCCCCCGCCCTCGATTCCGCCCGCGCAGTCTACGGCGGCTGGGAGGCAGGGGACATTTTCGAAGAGGCACTGGGAGGCGCCCTGGCAGGCGCCCCGGGGAGGGGCGGTTGGAGGGGCCTTGGGAAGCGCTCCGCGGTAAGCCGACCGCAATGCTGGAAGCGGGAGGCCAAGGCCTTGTAGAAAATGGCCCGCTTCTTCCAGGGCGCCCCCCAGCGCCCCTCCCAGCGCTCCTCCCTGCGCCCCTCCCAGGGCGCCTCCCGGCGCTCCTGGTAGCGCACCTCCCAGGGCGCCCCCCGGCACCCCTCCCGGCGCTCCTCCCAGCGCGCCCCCCAGCGCGCCTCCCAGCTCTCCTCCCAGGGCGCCCCCCAGCGCTCCCCCCAGCGTTCCTCGCAGCGCTCCTCCCAGCGCTCCTCCCAGCGCTCCTCCCAGCGCTTCGCAAGGCGCCTTCCGGGGCGCTCTCCAGGGTGCTTTCCAGGGTGCTTTCCAGGGCGCTTTCCAGGGCGCTTCCCAGAGCGCTTCCCAGAACGCCCCCCGATGCGCATGCGAAGGCGCGCCCCAGGACGCCTGCTAGGGCGCTTCCCAGCGCGCGCCCCAGGACGCCTGCCAGGGCGCGTTCCAGTGCTCGGAGCGGCCAGCTCAGGTGGACCAGATCCCGATCCAGTAAGGAGCCGAGCGGACCAGACCCAGATCGAGTCCACACGGAATCGTGAATCAATCTAAAGTGGTTTGTTTCGGTCGGGCTAGATCACGATCGAGTTTGACACGAATCGTGCATCAGCGGCGCCGCCAGGTCCATTATGACATTCATTATGGTACATGTATGTATATATATGTATGTATGTATATGTATATATATATACACATATATCTATATATGCACTTGAATGGGGGCGGCGCAACTGCGCCGTCACATCTGGCTGGTGCAGGAGAATCGTAACCGAACCTGCGTAGAATACGGCGCAGCGGTGAAGCGCGCGCGCAGGATCGCGCAATATGACTACCCGCGCCGCGCCCGCAGCGGCAGCAATTGAGGACAATTGAGGCGCGCAACAAACCAGTGTGTAACATTAGGAATGCAAGGCCATATATAATTCTGCACGCCTCGCGCAGCCCCGCCAGCCCGCGCGGGAAACCTGCGCGTCGGAGCTGACCGGGGCAGGGGCGAAGAGACACATCTAGGGAAACAAAGCGAGCAAGAGGGTGGCCGCGGAAGGCCCGTTCGGGCCAACTCCGGGCGCCGCGCGGGGGCGAGGGGGCGGCGGGGGGAAGGGGGGGGGCGAGGATGGCGAGGAGGGCGCGGAGGACGAGGGCGCGGACGCGGACGAGGACGAGGATGGCGAGGGCCAGGATGAGGACGACGCGGACGAGGACTCACGGAACCATTTGGAGGTATTTTTGCGGCTGCTGTTGCTGGTTATTTGGGAGTGTTGGGTGCCCTCCTGGAACGCCCTCGGTAACCCTGGAAGGCGTCTTGGGGTCATGTTGGAGGCCATTGGTTACGAGATGGGGCGCCCGCAACTCAGCCCCCCCCCTCCCCCAAGGATCCAGCGCAGCGTTTCTTGGGGCTGTCTTGGAGTGGCCTCGGGGCCGCCCGGGGCATCTTGGGAGCCAATTTGAGCCAGCTTGGGCAATCTGAGCTAAGACCTCCACTGCTAGGGGGCCCCCCTGGCCGCGAAAAGTAGTTTCCGTTGAAAACGGGACTGCGATGCCCCCGGGGCATTCAAAAACAGCAAAACATCCCAGATGATTTTAAACCAAAAATATCGGACTTAGCTTTTCGCTCGGCCACTGCAGTTGTTTCTGTCCCCCAGTTTAGCACAGCGCGCGCGTCTTTCTGTTGGGGCCGCGACCACTGTTCGCGCCCATGTATGACATTTCTGACCCAAGCGAGCTACCATCTTCGGATTTTTCGCGTCGCCCAAACTACGAGATGCCACGTGACCTCGAGCGGCGCTCGCGCGAGCGCACGCTGTGCACTCTTTCAAAACTCGCGCATCAAACAGCTCATGCACGCCGTAGCTGCCAGCGTTAAGTTCTGAGCTGCCGCCCCGAATTTTCCCCGATGTATTGCGACGGCTACGTATTGATATATTGATTTATTAATACATGTATATATTTTTCCATGTGTATATATATATATATGCATTCAGGTTAGTTTTCTTTTTGGCGCCCATCGCGACCGCAAGCTTTTTGTCTGGGGGGCGATAGGGCTTTTGACGACCTAATTGTTCTTAAGCGCGGATGAACGCTTCAACGATCAGTCCAGGTGGTTGCGGGGTTACGGGGAGGGGCGCGTTTGGAAATTCTGAAAGGTTCAAGAGGGTCTTGAAGGGTCGCGGGGCCGTCGTCACGCTCCCATAGGATGTTTTTGGGTCACGTGACATGTCGTGTCTCCTGCGCCCAGCAACCCGCGCGTCTCGGCCAGCGGAATCGACGCTTCGCGCGCGCGCCCATCGGGGGCGCCTCCTGCGCCCCTTGAAGTCGCTTGCGATCTCCTGAACAGCTTGCTGTTCTCCGGTGGTCCAGGGGCCGCCTTGGGCCCTCGTCGCCCGTCCGTCTTGTCTTGCTGTCTAGGGTCTCTCGCGCCGAAAAGTAGCCCCTCGACCTCGACCTTTTATTATTTGTCCCCCTCCTCCTTTTCGGCTTTCTCCCCCTGCGTGCCGCGGCCGCTTGGGCCGTTCAGTCCACGGGGAATTCCACGCTCCACAGCAAACGTCGCGCACGGGAACTGATGCGTCGCGTTCTCCGCCCCCCGCGCGCCACGGAGCGCCCGAATCGCAGACGGGGGCTTCTTTAAGTAGAATTGCCGAAAGGGGCAATGAGTGATCATCTGGCCAATATTGTATGCTCTGGCGATCTACGGGCTCTGAGCACGGACGCGCAAGGACCATGTCTTGCACAGGCGAAAGCGTGGCACACTACAAAGAGACTCAACTAAATCTAAGATGGCACCTTCGTTGCGCCGTCGAATGATAGCATCGCGAGGCCACTGCAGCCGATCCCGGTTCCATGCTGTAAGCACATTGAGCACCTGAAATTCGGATTATCTATATCGCAGAAGAAGAAGGGCGACATAATGCATCATCATGGCAGTGCCGTGCTGTCGACGAATTGCTGCAATCTCGCACAGATGACCGGGCAACATATGCCATGCAGGTGCCGTGGATGATATTGCATCCCACGGCAGTGGGCGCAGTGCCATGCCAAAAGCTCGCGATGTCATCGTCGCTAATTCGGTCAGCGCACTACGAATCGACATGCTCGGGGCTTGGAATCGGAGGACGCGCCGCCCCGCTCGGCCCCGCCGCGGGCAGCAGGAGCGTGGATCGCAGAGAGGTCGTGCACGTGCGAAGTAAATGCTGGAAAGGCGACGGCAGCAACGACCAGTGGGGGCCATCATTCCACATTCATACGGGCATCATAGACTTGCATAAGTGTTATCAGCGATGAAAGATGCACGGGATGCATCGGGGCGGCGGCCGATATTATCTGCCCGGGGACAGCAGAAATTCCATGAAGCTTCCTCAGGGGGAGACAGTCAGATTGAATATGGCGAAACTCGACACGCTCACGATCTTGCACCAGCGAATGCGGTCTGATACTGTGAAACATAAGAAGCCCATGAACATTTTAATTGATTCTAGTCTTCACGGAGGCTAGATGGCAGATTCAACTCGTAGATTCTCAAGGGGGCTTCGATTAGATTCTAGAAGGGTAAGAGATCCATTTCTTTGCCGACATTGTAGATTCCATCGCGCAGACGGCGGCCCCCTTTGAGTTGCGCGTCGGCCCCCTCTGCGGCTTCGCGTTCATTCGTCGACGCTTCCCTGTCTCGACTTTGGACTGCGCGGGCGCGGCGTCGAAGCTCACGAAGCTCGCGAGTGTGATCACTCTGGCGGTCGCCGAGGCGAGCTCCATGAAGTGGAGGGGGGTGCGAGGCGCGCCGCGCCCGATCAGGGCGCGGGGAAGCACGCGGCGAGCGCCCCTTTCGGCGGGCCAGATGAGTTGCAACAGGCTGTTTGTGATGCACGGACTACGAGGCTGGCTTTTGGCGTGCCCTGGTTGCCAGGGGCTGTATTTTTCTCACAGGCGCATTAGAGTTGCCAGATCTCTTGCACATGTGCTTCAATGCCGCCGAAGAGGCGACTGTCTCTCTCCGGGAGCGGGCGCCGCGCGAACTTTTGCTCGAGGCGGTCGCCGCAGCACGCAGTCGCGAGAAGGACAGACTCTGGACAATAACTTTCAAGAACGCGCCCCCCCACGGCAGGAGGGCCGCGAACGAGTGCAGCGGGCAGCGCGTCGACTGGCGATGGGAACATTTGGAAGAAACGCTATTCAGCATCAACGTGGTTCGGCAATCTTTGCGCAAGTATTTCGACCCAGCGGCCATAGGCGCATCGGCTGAGAGGGCGGCCCGCTGCCGAAAGGTCACGTTGCAGAAGGAGTGGTTCGAGGCCATGTCAATGACGGCCCATGTTCCCCTGATGGCCGCGGGCGGGGAAACGTCTTGGACGGGGGATTGCACCTGCAGCGGGCGCTTCAAGACTCGTATCAAGTTGCTTAGAAGGCTCGGGAAGACGAGATTGCATGCTGTCCTTGGATGGGCAGGCGAGGCGCCCATTTTGCAGTCGGTCATGGCGCCAGCGCGTTCGATGGGTTTCGCTCGGCCACGTCGCAATCATGCCACCAGGTGCTTCTCGCTGTGGACGGCGTCACAGCGGGCAAGATGATGCAGATCAAGACCAACAGTACTGAACGATGGTGCAGCGAGGTTTCGGACAGGCTTGACGTCTGGAACCGCGTGCAGCGCAAGGTCGCCGGCGCGTTCGCCGAGCATTTCGGCTTCGACGCGGGCGCGGGGGAACGGTGGTGGGCGGTCAACAACTTTCCCCGAACTGCTCCGGGTGTCCACTGGCCATCGTTTAAAGGGGCCTCGGGAAATTCTGATCCTGAAACGCTCGCCCCGCGGAGACGCGCGATGCCGCGCAATGTTTGCCAGCAGTGCGCCGGTGAGGTTTTCGCGGCCAGAACGGCCCGCCACTTTTCGACGTTTGGTCTTTTGCGATGGTTTAACCAGGTCCGGTGGAAATTGATGGCCGTTCAGGTGCGCGCGCGGGGGGGGGGGCGGCTTCCATGAGTGGGGCAATGTCGAGAGCAAGCCTGCCGCGCACCGCGCGTGCTTTTCGTTGTTCGATCGCTCCGCGTCGGCCCCTGCGAAATTGGAAGCTTTTGGGGGCGCCGCTGCAGAGAGCCCACGCAAGCTTCGTGACTACCCAGAGGCATTCCATGAAGTTCGAAGCTGAGCATTGACAAATTGCGTCGGTTGGATCATCGAGGCCGAGCTCAAGCAGACGAGGGGCGCAGTCACCCGAAACTTCACCTACGCGAAGACAGCTGTTGCGCGTGCAATTCCGCGCAAGTTGCAGACCCTGGCCACATTGGACGGCCATCGAGCACAGCGGGGGCTGGCGCAGCATTGGTCTGACCAAGATCACTGGTTCACGCAGCGCAGGGAGACGAGGCCCCCCGTCTCACTCTAGCGCAGAGACACGAGGAGGTCGGCTAATAGATAAGTCGAGGGTGTCCTTCAAGTTCGGGGGTGATGCGTCCTTCCTCGCTATGCCATCGCCCCTTCCCAAACCCCCTCTACGCTACGCCATGGCGCCTTTGTTTATCAGCAAGTTTGCGTTCTCGCGTCTCTGCCCCAGGTCTACCAGTGCAGCGCCGCAGATTAATCTGAGGACGTCTCCGCGTTGCAAGGCGCGATCGCGGCTTGGGGGGCTCAGGAGAAGCGCGCTGATAAGGCTGGCGGCGTTCACTTCACCCCGGAAGCGCGTCTCATGACCACGTACTTCAAGGACAAGTTGGACAGAGGATGCGTTCTGAGCATGCCTCGGGCTATCTGGGATTCGCCGCCAAATTTTGATGGCGAGTCGATGGCAAGTCTTTTTTCTTCCGATTTGGTCGAGGTTATGCTTGGCCCAGACACTATGGCGAGCCATGGCGAGCCATGCCATCTATGGCAGCAAGCATATTACGAAGTTATCGACGCCAGACCTGAGGCCGAGCGACAGCTGAGGATTGGGCACATTGCGAGGCCGTGGACTTGTTCGATGGCCCCGCGGTGTCTCGGCACGTCGCGCTTGGCATCGCGCGCGTTGATCTCCAGTGCACAGCGCAGACCGCCTGACATATTTCATGGAGCCATTCGTCGGGTGGAATGTCGGCGAGTTCAATCGCAAAGTCGACTTCCTGCCTTCGCCAGCGCCGGGAGCAACAGGGGTTCCTATTCTTCGCCCTGAACTCCCCGAAGAAGACGGCGCCATCGCGGCTGCAGGTGGCGATGCGAACGAGCCGAACATCCCGACCCCAGAGGCCCGCTATTTCGCCGAGCAGGCGATGGACATGATGGCGTTCTCCGTTTGCGACGTTCACGCGCCCTTCTTTAGCTTGCCAGATGCGAGCGGCATGTCCATGGCCGAGCTTGTCGGGGCAGGCATTCTGGTCCTGGTTGCGAGAGGCCCTTACTTGATATGCGATCAGGAGACCCCGCGCCCTTCGGTCGCATGGATAAGCTTTAACTGGCGAGAGCCCTCTTGCGCAAAGGCTGGGCGCCGCAATCAGATGTGCCCTGGCAGCTTGTGCAAGGTGCTCATGTGTTCTTGACAGACGTCGTGAAACGACTCAAGATGCATTGGTTTTGCCTTGCAAGTTCGGATGATATCTGTGAGCGACAAGCAGATTTCTATTTTATCGGTCAGTATGCGACAAAGTCTTCCTACAGTTGCAGGCTGTGCACGAAGGACGCGAGGAGCACTGTCGTGGTGGATGTACTGTGCACTGCGGACGGCATCTTCAAGGATAAATTCAGAGGGCTGAAGGACGATGGCATGGTGGGTCATTTTGAGGACGACGACGGCCCAGAGAGCGACGTGGAGTTGGAGGCGCCTGCGCTTCCAGAAGCCATTCCGATTGCACCGCTTCCAGCCATGATGCCCGACGTGCAGTCGCCCCCTGCGGTCATCCGCTAAGATCGGACAAAGCACGAGGCATTCTTCAATCATTTCACCCATCCCAGTGGGCAGAGGCGCGCCTACACCTACTGTGGCTATCATGATGGATGGTGTCCAAGACGAGAACCACATATGCGCCTACTTGATTGCTCGGGCGTGGATGGGCCCCATCATGCTTCCCGACAGCGGCGGGGACAGCCCGCGCCCTGGACTTCGAGCCGGCCGCGTAGGAGGTGGCGCGCATGCGTTGTATCTTGGACGTTTGAAACATCATCGCGATACGTTTGAGGCTCGGTGTGAGCTCATGATTCGAGAATGTTCAATGCCGTCATGGATTATTCGCAGTAATCACAGGGCCGCCCTCTGTCTCTCTGTCCACCCTGCTGACATGTCACCAGTTTGCTTATCTTGCTCGCCCGCTCCCTGCACCTCGCACTTGCCAGTCAGCATTGCAATTGCTGCCACCACCTTCCATACTCGTCATCCGCACCATTATAACCACCATCATCTTCACCACCATCACTACCAGCATCGCCCCCATCTCACCAGTCAGGAGATGAGTGCCCGAAGCAATTCTTTACGCTTCGCGTATCCCCACCAGCCCATCTCAAAACAGCAACTCTTGCGAAGCATGCCGACAATCGTGTTTTTCAGGCGTGTTTCCGCCTGCCCCCGCATATCTCCCCTGTTCTTCCTTCCTCCCGCCTCCTTGTACATCCTCCTTGTGGTGGGAGCGGGAGAAGGACGAGGCGGAGGAGGAGGGAGAGAAAGCGCTCCTCGTGGTTTGAGTCGTTTGGGGTTTCTCGTCCTGGTGTGAGTCGTTCGGGCCCTTCTTCCTGGTGTGAGTCGTTCGGGCTCTTCGTGGTGTGAGTCGTTCGGGCTCTTCGTCCTGGTGTGAGTCGTTCGGGCTTCTCGTGGTGTGAGTTGTTCGGGCCCCTCATCCTGGTGTGAGTCGTTCGGGCCCCTCCTCCTGGTGTGACTCGTTCGGGCTCCTCGTGGTGTGAGTCGTTCGGGGCCCTCGTCGTGGTGTGAGTCGTTCGGGCTCCTCGTGGTGTGAGTCGTTCGGGCGCCTCGTCCTGGTGTGAGTCGTTCGGGCCCCTCCTTCTGGTGTGAGTCGTTCGGGCTCTTCGTGGTGTGAGTCGTTCGGGCCCCGTCGTCCTGGTGTGAGTCGTTCGGGCTCCTCGTGGTGTGAGTCGTTCGGGCTCTTCGTGGTGTGAGTCGTTCCGGCCCCTCGTCCTGGTGTGAGTCGTTCGGGCTCCTCGTGGGGCCTCTCGGGGGCCTCTTGGAGCCTCTTGGGGCCTCTTGGGGGCCTCTTGGGCGCCTCTTGGGGGCCTCTTGGGAACCTCTTGGGGCCTCTTGGGGCCTCTTGGGGGCCTCTTGGGGGCCTCTTGGGGGCTTCTTGGGGCCTCTTGGGGGCCTCTTGGGGGCCTCTTGGAGGCCTCTTGAGAGCCTCCTGGGGGCCTCTTGGGGCCATCTTGGGGCCTCTGGCGACCTCCTCAGAAGCGCCAATGAGCGCTGCCCCCTGAGAAGGACAAAAGGAGCCCAAAATCTTTTGTAAAATCGATGATTTTGCTATGAAGGAAGAGGAGCGCTGCCCCCTCAGAAGGCCAAGATGGGGCCGAAACCGTAGTTAAATCAATGATTTTGGTTTCAAAGAAGAGGAGAGGTTTTTTTCTCCGCCCTCCCGTCGGGGGCAGAATCCTCGTGAGGGGTGTCGTTTTTGAGCCCTCCCAGGAGTCGAAACGGACCCCCCTGACGACCCGCGGCCCCGTCTCTCCAGGCCCAGGGGGAGGGGGTAGGGGGAGGGGTAAACCCCTCCCCGAAGGGGAAGAAGGGGGTTGAGGACAGAGCGGGCTCTCTAAACCACTCACGCCCAAAGGGCTGGTGGGATTTCTCATTGCGTTCTTGCTGGAAGCACGGAAAATCTAGGTGAACCCATGTCGGGCACTCGTCTAGGGTGTTTCTTGTAGTCTGCGCGTCTTGTGCCGGGCCCGCGATCAACTTCGTTATCTTCGTGGCCGCCAACGCCGCCGCCCTCGCAGCCGCCATCACCATCTACATGTGCTTGCGTAGTGGGTGCCTCCGTGCTGGGCACATGCCCGCTGGCTCGTCGAAGGTCCTCAGATCCCTCAGATCCCAGCGTCGCCATTCACTTACATTTACACAGCAGCACATAACACAGTGGGCGTGCCCTGAAACCATCTTGGAGCCATCTTGGGACTCGCGGGCGGCCGCGCGGGCGCCGGGGATCTTCGGGGGCACCAGACAACGACGACGAACACGTTTCGGCATCTTCGGTCGACCGATGCGCCGCCGATGTCCCGCCGCTGTCCCGCCGATGCCCCACCGCTGTCCCGCCGCTGCCCCGCCGTTGTCCCGCCGCCGCCCCGCCGCTGTCCCGCCGCTGTCCCGCCGCTGTCCCGCCGCTGCCCCGCCGCTGCCCCGCCGCTGCCCCGCCGCCGCCCCGCCGCCGCACCGCCGCCGCCCGCCCGGCATCGCCGTGCGACGTCGAGGCCCAGGGCGCGATAACGGCGGCCCCAGGGCCCCAAAGCCCAGGATCCGACGCCCCAACGGCGGACAACTGTAGATAGCAACCGTGCATAGCCATTGTGGCGTCAAGGTCAAAGTTCGGCTAGGGGTTTGAGCCTTACTTGCGTTGCACTGGATGTCAAGGTCTGCAGCAGACGTCGTCAGTACCTCTAGTGAGGATTAGCATGATATCTTTCCGCGCCCCACGCTCGAAGAGATGACGTCGGGCCTGGAGAGCGCGGTGACGAGCCGTTCTGGAAAGCGACTTGGAGGAGGATCAGGCGCGCCCCCTTGCGTCCGATAGAGTAGGCGCGTTTGAAGAGCCAGAGCCACCGAGAAAGCCCGCGCTCTTTCTCGCCCTCCACTCGCTCCCGCCTGAGACTTCCTCGCAATCGAGCCAGGGAACGGTCTTGGGGCCTTGGGCCTCTTGGGGCCGTGGGCACCTCGGCCGCGCGCATCATGTCCCACGCGTGCATCGGCGCCCGCTGCGACCGTGGATGTCTCGGAACGGGTGCCTCGGTTACCCGACATCTGCCCTCTCGCGCCATCGCGCGCGGCCCTCGGGCCGCCGCGCGGGGCCGATGGGCCCCGGCTGACCGGGCGCGGCCTGGCCATTTCCGCAGCCTCTGTGACGCCTCCGGTTTCCTCGGCCGGCCCGTGGGAGGCCCGCCTCGCCCTGGGCGCCGCGGGCGTCGTCGGGGAGGCCAGGCGCCCGTCGGAGCTCGCGAGGGGGAACCGCGCGCGCGAACGCGCACGCCGAGGGGCAGGGCATCCTCCGCGCGGGCGCGGGCCCTGCTGGATTGCAAATGGACGTTTAGCCGCCCTCCGTGCGCCGCGTGGCGACTTGGCAGACACGCATGCACTTTGCGTCCGGCGTTTGCAGGGCATTCCGGAAGTTTCGGTGCGCGGGGTCAACGATTGCGGGGCGGTTCGTTACGGCGTCGCGCAGCAGGCGCGGCTGGACAACGAACAATGCCTTCGATCGCGTACTTTTTGACACTCCCACGGCCGAGGTCTGAAACACCAGAAAAAAACAATGTGAAAACATCAGCAATTCCATGATCGGAGTGTGCGGCATCCACAATTACCGCGAAGGCCTTACGACAGGTGCGGCCGACCCTGAAGGCCGGATTTCCCCCGGGATCCCCCGCTGGCGACCCCCTGGGCCAGGGGAGGGGGCGGTGTTCTGACCCGGCTCCTCCCCCACCGCCACCCCTACCCCTTCGCCCCCCCTTCCCCCAGGACCCCTTTTGCAGGGACGGGATCTCAAGGGAAGGGAGAGTCGGCTCAATTGCGACATTGCTCTCTTGTTCCTCAATTCCGTCGCGATTGAGGACGACCACGATGACGACGACGACTGCGTCATCCACACGCCAAAACGTCGGCGAACTCCTATGGGAAGCGGTCAGATGAGGAGCTGAGCGAGGAGGAAGGAAAAGGATGCGGATAGAGGGAAGGATGAAAGCAGAAGGGCGCGGAAAAGGGAAAGGATGAGAAGGACCGACCACGATGCATATCTGAAACATTGTAGGAGGGGGACGGCGACGAGCAGCAGCAGCAGCAGCAGCGGCAGCAGCAGCAGCGGCAGCAGGAGCAGTAAATATGGGGACGGGGGAAAGCGAGGAGGAGAAGCAAGGTGGAGGGGGAGGGGAAGGAGGAGGAGGAGGAGCAGCAGCAGCAGCAGCAGCAGAAGCAACACCTCCCCCATCCATCATCCCAACTTCCAGTCCATCATTCTCCCATCCCTCCTTCTTTCCGCACACCCAGTCCCTCCATCTTCCAAACATCCCATGTCTTGTCTTCTCAACGCGGGGCCCCCAGAAGCCCCGACCCTTTCCACAGGGGTGTGCTTCTCATCTTGGGTCGTTTCTGGCAGTGTCTTGGGGCCCGGGGAGGGCCCAAAACGTCCGTCGATATCAGAGCGTGAATTACCTCCCCCGCTTTCGCTTCCAGGCAAAACCAAGTCGTACCACGCGCCTCCTCGTCAAGCGGCCTGACCAGTACAGGCTGCAATTGTTGACGCTTCGCGTATCCCCACCAGCCCATCCAGAAACGATGCTCAGGGGAGTTGAGGTGATCAGGGAAGTCGGGGAGCATGCAGAATAACAAAGGGCGGGGGAAGCTGTCACAGACCCCGAGAGGGGGAGGATGGAAGAGGAGTCGTCGTCGTCGTCGTCGTCGTCGGAGGAGGAGGAGGAGGAGGAGGGGGAAGAGGAGGAGGAGGAGGAGGAGGAGGAGGACGGAGAAGGAGGAAGAATCGGAGGAGGAGGAGGAGGAGGGGAAGGAGCTTCTTGGGGGTCTTTTGAGGGCCTCTTGGAGGGCTTTTTGGGCGCCTTGGGGCATCTTGGGCGCCTCTTGGGACCCTCTTGAGGCGCTCTGGGGAGCCTTCGGGGCGCTTTTGGGGCCATCTTGGAGGGAGTCGATCAAACAAGAGGGGGGGTTTAATTAGCGTCCCCCCTCGGAAGCCCCTAAAATCGCCTCTTGGACCCCTCTTGGAACGCTCTTGGAGTGCTCTTGGGCGCTCTTGGGGCCGTCTTGGGGCTCTTTTGGGGCTCTCTTGGGGCCCTCTTGGGCCATCTTGGAGCCATCTCCAGGCCTCGGATGGCCATCGGAAGCGAAAAGGCGAGAAAGCAAAAATCATTGATTTTCCTTAGGTTTTGGGACGATTTTGGCCTCTTCGGGGCCTCCTTGGGGAGCTGTTTGGCCACTTGGAGTTATCTTGGGGCCGTCTTTGGGCTTCTTGGAACCATCTTAGGAGCCATCGTGAGCGATCTTGCGCTATCTTGAGCCATCTTGGAGCTCATCTTGGGTTCTCTGAGGCGCTCTTGGAGCCGTCTTGGGCCATCTTGGACGCTCTAACTACCCGCGGCCCCCCCCGTCCAGGTCCAGGGGAGGGGGTAGGGGGAGGGGTAAACCCCTCCCCAAGGGGGAAGAGGGAGGGGTGGAAGAGGATCTGCTCTAGACCACCTACGCCCAGAGGGCTGGTGGGATTTGGCATCGTTTGGTATCTCTTGGAAGCGAGGGTGGTCAAAAGCGAGGGAGGTTTGTTTTCCACCTAGATATGCTTGTGGGGTCCGCTGCCCCCGCACGCATCTCCTGGTCCCTCCAGTCCCTCCAGGGCTTGCGTGGGGGAGGGGCGGGCCCCGGCTGCGCCCCGCCCCTCTCGTAAGGAGCCCCTGGGAGGGCGGCGCGCCCAGGAGAGCCAGGAGGTCTGCAGCAGCCCTGCGGGCGACGCCCAGGACCGGCCCCCCGCCCCCGCGCAGCAGGTCGGCTCCTCCTTCGGTCGGGAGGAGGGTGGAGGAGGTGAGACCAGAGAGGCGAGAGGAGGGAGCAGGAGGGAGGAGGGTGAGGAGGGGGGGGCGTCAGGAGGGTGAGGGTAGGATCAGCGGTGAGGAAGGTGAGGAGGGTGAGGAGGGTGAGGGATGGGGGAGAATCAGGGAGGAGGAGGGTAGGAGGAGGAGGAGGGAGAGGACGAGGTTGGGGAGAGAGACCAGGCCACGCAGGGGCACGGTGATAATCGCGCTTCGCGCAGCGCGAAGCGTGAAGTCGGTTGACCTAAGACACGCGATGGACGAGTGCAGACGTGGAAGTGTTCCAGAGTACGGAGGGAAGGTTTGAGGGAGCGTTGGCCATGCATGGGGGACGCACGGGTGGGGATGGACGAAGGATCCAGCGCGGACTTGGCTGCAGAAGGAACAAGAAGAAGGACAGAGAAAAGGCTCTGGCCAGCCCTCTGCCCGAGCAGGGGTGGAAGCGAACCGTGCCTCCACGAGGGCCGCGGCCGCGTGGGATCCGTTGCCAAGGGCATCGCCGAGCCGCGGCCGCGGCCGCGCTCTGCGAGGCGTGCCCGCGGCCTTCGCAATCAGGCGCCCCGACCGCCGCACCTGCTGCTGATCGTAGCCTTCCAGATTCCTCTCCCTGGCGGCGTTGCCCCTCCCGCGCCCCGCAGCATCGCCGCGCGCGCGCGCCAAACCGCCCCGGGCAGGACGCGCGCCGCTCGCCGGGCACGACGCCCGCCGGGAGCCCCCAGACGTTGGGGTCAAGCAGGCCCCGGCAAGCCGCCCCGCTCTGTGCCGCTCTTCTGCGGGAGCCCAGGATGGGAGTGTGAGGACCAGCGAGGGCGGGGGGGCAGCCTGGCCAGGGCCATGGAATCTCCCATATCTCATGCCTCATGCCCTCACCTCTTTCTTCTTCGTCCGACGCATCCGCTGGACCCCCTATCGTCCGCGCACGTGCGTGGGGCCACGATGCGACCCCCCTCCTCTTCTGTGCAACGGCGTCGCGGCAAATCAGGTTTTGCTCGCAGCGCCAAGCGGCTCGGCGCGGTCGGACTACGGCGAGCCGCGTGGCTGGCTGATTGCGTTCGTCCAGGACGAAACATAATCTCTGCTTGAGCATGCATTTTCTGAGGACCGTGTGGACCTTTGGGGTCGGCGTTGTGGCCCCCTGCCTCCTTAGACTCCCCCCCCGCGGCTTCTAAGAAGGCAGCCCCCCCACGCGCCACGCCGCCAATGTCGTGTGGACGCGGCGGCGACCCTGGCGCGGGCGTGCATTCTTGAACACCGCCATGACAGAACGAGCGGCGATATCGGAAATCCCCGATCGATCAAGGTTGCTCTGAGGAGGAGGAGGAGGAGGAGGAGGAGGAGGAGGAGGAGGAGGAGGAGGAGGAGGGGGAGGAGGGGGAGGAGGAGGAGGAGGAGGAGGAGGAGGAGGAGGATAGTTCACGGGGTTTCCCAGAAACAAGCGCACATCTCATCACGACTCACTCTCCGGCCGTGGCGAAATCGGTGAGTCTCTCGCAGCAGAGTGGGTCACGGATCTGAGCCACGACGGCAATACCCAAGGAGAGGTTGAGTAGCGAAGCCTCTATTTTCAAGGGTTCCCTCGAGGGCGCGAAGTTGTTCGCGCTTCGCGCTTCGCGGTCCTCGTTCCTTCTCCCCCTCCTCCTCGTCCTCCTATTCTCCCTTTGGGAGGGCGGCGCGAGAGCGCGAAGTTATTCGCGCTTCGCGCTTCGCGCAGCGCGAAGCGCGAAGTTGGGAGCCCTAGATTTTGAAGAAGCATGGGCGAGTTACCCATGGGTTTGGCCCCCATGCTTGATTCTCGCTCGGGCTTTCCTCGGTGACGCGCTAGTCCTCCCTGTTCTCTCTGGGCGGGCTCCCCCTTGCCGCGAGGAAGAGGGCTCCTGGAGAGGTTTACGTTCAGGATTCCCGAGGAGTTTGAACGTTGCCGATGGATCCAGCCCCCATCTCTCTTTAGTAGCTTGTTTGGTGCCTGTTCAGTGCCACCGTCGACGTCCTCCCCGCTGTCATGTTTCCTTTTTCTGTCACTTCCTGTTATTTGAATCCTTCTCGCCTACATCATGTATGCGGTTGGGGTGTTTTGTTGGGATAGTTAGTGTTTGCGTTCTCCGTATATCTGCCTTCCGCGTCCTTTTCCCGCCTCCTTTTTGTTTGCGGGCCAGGCTTCAGAAGGCGACGGTCGTGCAGAAGGCTTGCCCGCAGCAGGGTCTGAGTGCGCACTGCATGTTACGCTGGAGGCATTAGGGAGAGCGGATGGGAGTGGAGGAAGAGATTAGAGGGAGGGTCGCATCTTCGCTCCGCTCCCTTGGTGTTGTTGGCGCGGGCGCGCGACGCCTCTTTGCCCGTCCGTCTAAGGTGGTGCTTGACCTGGCGGAGGACGAGGACTGAGTTCCTTGCGCGCCTCGCAGCCTACAGCGGGCGCTGCTCTGTGTGCTCCGCTCCTTGGGCCGCGCTTCTCTCTGGCCGACCCCCACCGGGCACCCCGCAGACCTCCGACGGCTCGGTCTCGTCAAGCCACCTGCCTCCTGAGCTGTCGACTCCATCGCCAGGACCGTCACGTTTTATCCCGGGTCATTGTCCGGTGGTCCCGAGGCCCAGGAGTCGCCTCCGGACGCCGAGTGTTGTGCTTCTCCTCACCCCCAGAAAAAAGCTCTGTCCAGCGTGAACCCCAAGCACTGAGCTCTTGCACTCTCGATGTGCAACCTGCGTGGTGCAATCTGTGTATGATGCAACCTGTGTGTTGCGATATGAATGGTGCAATCTAGACGATGCAACCTGTGTGGCGCAGTCTATACGGTGCAACCTTCCTGGCGCAGCCTGTGTATGTTTCTACCAGGCCAGCCCTCGAACCATCTAGTCCGAGAAATCGGGGGAGACCCCCTGGTGCGGGCGCAGCTTCGGGAAGCATCCAGCGCGGTGACCTCGGAGTCGCCAGAGGTCTGCGCATGCCCGGACTGCTCGGCACCGAGGAGGAGGAGGAGGAGGAGGAGGAGGAGGAGGAGGAGGAGGAGGAGGAGGAGGAGGAGGAGGAGGCCGCTCACCCATTTGAAGCTCACCTGCACCCGCGCCGCGTTCCTGCGGATGGCCGGCGGCGCGGTGGCGCGTCCAGAGCGACCGCTTCTCCTCCTGCTCCTGCTTCCTCTCTCCTCCCGCTCCTGCTCGCTTCTCCTCCACCCTCCTCCTCCTCCTCCTCCTCCTCCTCCTCCTCCTCCTCCTCCTCCCCCCTCCTCCTCCTCCTCCTCCTCCTCCTCCTCCTCCTCCTCCTCCCGCCCTGCTCATCTTCCTCCCTCCCTCCTCATCGCCGGCCCATGATGAAACCATGCGTCCATGGGTGAGGCCCCAGTGTCCAGGACCCGTTTCCTCCAGGACCTTTTCTTTCACGCCAAGTATCCTCCACCTCCGCCTCCTCAGTCCCCGCTTTCTTCTCCCCCTCCCCTCGGCGGTGGTGCGCCACGAGGGGGGCGACCTTCTAGGAGGGCGGAGGGCTTCTTTGGAGACAGGGGGCGTCCAAAAAGTCCTCCCGGCTTCCAAGATACCGTCGCAGAAGCTTCTGACGTTCTCTTGGAAGGCCCTCCCTCCCCCATGTGCCGTTCCGCCGCTTGGAACGGTGTTCTCGCTCCAGCGCAGGCCACGTTTTTGGATTCGAATCTTTGCTCGTAATTCCCGCCCCATCCTGTCTCTTGCTCCGCCTCCGCCTGCTTCTCCTGCTCTTGTTCCTCCTCCTCCTCCTCCTCCTCCTCTGCTGCCCGATCAGTGTCGTGGGCCCCCTGGGCGGCGCCCTTCTCTTCCTGCTTTGGGGAGGAGGGACGGGGGCCACCCAGGGCGCGACGGCGGCAGGAGAGCCCGAAGTCGCAGCTGGGGGCCCCTCGGAGGGAGAACGGTGCGCTATCGACCAGACCTCCAGCGTATTGGAGGGGCCCTCGCCTGGCCCCGCGACCGTACATTGCTCAGCCAGGCACCTCAATAGCAGCAAAAGTGAAGAGGCGGGTGGATGAATGGAAGGTCCGCTACAGGTGACAGGGGTGAGGGCACGGCCATGTGCACCTCAGTGTTTGTTTGACAGCGCGTCATGGTCGTGCGGACTAAACATGCAGCCCGCATTGGTGCGAGAGCACGGCCCTTGAAGAAGGTGTGCGGAAGTCTCAGGCGATACGGTTACCAGACCGGGTGATCTAGGGAGGCGGTCCCAGGCTCCCCGTCCTTTTTTCATGGGGACCCTAGTTTTTCCTGTCGTTATTTTTCTGTTTAAGAGACGCCATTCCGCCGACCCCCAGAAGAAGCGGGGAGTCCACGGTTGAGGCGTGGTGGGTTTCTTGGGCACTAGCTGGGCGTTTCGGGCTGTTTGTGGGTTTTTGCGGAGCCACTTGGAGGTAGTTTTGAAGCGTCTTGGGGCTCGTTTGGGGAGCCTCTTAGGGGCCTCTTGGGGCTTATTGGGGGCTTCTTTTGGGCCGCTTGGGGGCTTCGTGGAGCCTTGGAGGGGTCCTCTTTGGGGGGGAAGGATAGGATGTTCACTTCGCGTTCTCGATCTTTTCCTCTCTTGGGGCCCTCTTGGAGCGCTCTTTGGCCGTCTTGGAGCCCTCATGGGCCTGTATTGGGGTCCTCGTTGGGGCCGCTTGGGGAATTTGGGGACGGTCTACGAGTCCTCTTGGGGCGTCTCGGAGCGTCGGAAGCTTGAGGGGACGATGGCCCCAGAAACAATGAGACAAACCATTGATTTGTACCTCTCGGTGCCTTCTTGGAAAGGCTCTTAGGGCATCTCGAAGGCCTCCTTGGGGCGTCTTTGGGCGGAAGGCCAGGATTTTCGGTTCGTATGCCCTCTCGTGGGCTCCTTTTAAGGCCGTCTTGGGGCCCTCTTGGGCCGTCTTGGGCGCCTCTTGGGCCTTGGGGCCCTCTTGGAGGCCTCATGGGTTGTTTTGGGGGCCTCTTGGGGGCATCTCAGGGGTCCCTTGGGCCGTCTTGCAGCGTCGGAAAACAGAAAAGGCGAGAACGCCACAATTCATCAAACACCTCCGGAAAATCATGGATTATGGCCCCTCGGGCCCACTTGGGAAGACTCTTGTGGCGTCTCGAAGGCGCCTTGGGGCGTCTTGGAGCCATCGTAAGCGTTTTGGGCCAATCATTCAGCGATTCGGGATCGTCTTGGAACGTCTTGTGGGCCGCCTTGGGCACCTCTTGGGCCGTCTTGGGGCGCTCTTAGGCAGTCTTGGAGGCCTCCTGGGCTGTCTTGGGGGCCTCTTGAGGGTCGTGTGCCGTCCCGAAGCACAGAAAAGGCGAGAACACAAACAATTTTCCCAAATCATAAGGTAACCATTGATTTGTGCCTCTCGGGGGCCTCTTGGGGCGTCTTGGAGCCATCGCAGCGTCTTGGGCCAATCGTTCAGCGATTCGGGCCCCTCTTTGAACGTTGTTTCAGGCCACGGAAGGCAGATTTGGAAGCTACGGAGTCTCCGGGGTGCGCCAGCGAGCCCCGACGAGCCCAGATATTCGGATACCCCTCCCTCAAAGGTAGTTTTGGAACTCGAGGGATGGGGGCAGTGCAATGGGGGGCAGCCGACCATCTCACGCGCCTTCTCACCCCCGGCAAGCGGGGGTCGGCGGACTATGATGAATTAGGGAACAAAGAGCTGAGGATGAAAAGCCAGTCCCAGGGAAAGGGCTGGGAGTTCTGGGGAGTCCGTATCGGAAAGGCAGTACGTCGGACCTCTCGTTACCGATTCCAAGTTGTCTGATCAGACCCCTCCACGCATCAACCCTCCCGACCATCCGTTCTGGACCCCCCCACGCGATCTGGACTTTCCCACGCCCCGCGAACGAAAACAGCCTGTCTGTTCAAGCTCGCCCCACCCGCCACACGCGATCCACCTCTACCATGTTTTTGTTCAACAACTCGGAGTACCCTTCCCTCATTTCCAGAGGCCCTCTGAGGGCCTCCGAAGGCCCCCGAAGCATCGTTGGCATCGACGACGCCGTCGGCGGCGGCGGCGTCGACGAAGCTGCTGACGACGTCGACGGCGTCGCCGTCGCCGTCGTCGTAGTCTGCGTCGACGTCGCCGTCGGCGTCGCCGTGGGGCCTCGCCGCGCCTTCGGGCCTCTCCGGCGGGCGCGCTCCGCCCTCTCCGCGCGCGCAGCCGGCTGCGACGGCCGTGTTTTGCCGCCCGGACGCGTCGCGCCCGCCGCGCGCGAGGCTTGCGCGCGGCTGCGCGTGTCGACCCCGCCCCTCGTCGTCGAGCATCGCAGGCGATGTTTCTCCCCCGATCCCCGAGTTTCGCCCAAAAAGTTTGGCCGCTCAGAAACATGGAAAGACCCTGGGATACACCCCAGGGGGTGCTATTCGGACGCACCCCTAGCGAGGATGGGCACCCCCCCATCGTATATCCCAGGGTTGGGCCCCAAATTTCTGGTCCATTCGGAAACCCCACGAAGCCTGGGATAGGGGTCGACGTATCCCTTGTTAGAGCATATCCATACAAATATCCTCGCAATCTGGGCACCGCGTCGCGATCCAGCGGGCACTCTTGCTCCGGGGATGCGGACAGGTTCTTGGTCGGTCGGGCGCGAGCTGGCCAGGCAGAGGCGAATCGAGAGAGGCGAAGCAGAGGAGGGAGCAAACGTTTCGCGCGGGCCACCCGCGCATGGAGTCGTTTGGAAACCGTTTTTGTTGCGGCCGAGGTGTCTAGGCCGCGTGGCGTGGCTGGCGACGTGGATCTGCGGGGGGCCTCCGAGCCTCCTGCGACCCATGGGGCCCCGCCCTGTGCCTTCCAGGATCCACGTTCTCTGGTTCCAGCGTCTTGAGCCTATCCGCGCCCTCGGGAGCTCATCGCCGCGGCCGCGTCCCCGTCGAGATTTTTTGGCCAGAACGCCCCATGGAGAGGTTCCTCGGCGACTCGAGCAGGGAATTCGCGCCAGAGACGTTGCCGAGTGTTCGGCGCCGTTCCCAGGACATGGGGCCGTCCAACGAAGCGACTCGGGATGGGGCCGACGTTCGGGGGAAAGGGCCAGCTGCCCGAAACGATCGGGTCTTCGGCGGTTGGGGCCCACGTCTGGCTGCGCGCGCAAGTGGGTGGCGCGAGGGGGGAGGCCGTCTGAGAAGGGGGGGGGGCTTCTGAGAATGCAGGTGGTTGCCCGGAGCCTTTCCGGGAGGTCGGCGATGACGGTGCCGGGGGAGACGTCGGCAACCATCTCCATTGCAGACACGTGTGATAGTTTAGTGAAGTTTTCTCGATCGACACGTTTCAGAGCACAGTGGTTGATGTGAACGCATGCAAGACGTCGGCCCTCGGTGGCTTTCCTTGGACACCTTGGCTCGCGCCGCGCCGCCGATTCCGCAGGAGCCGTGGATTCCTCTCGTCTAAGGGTCGGTGACGTGGAAGTGTTTACGCGTCATGCGTTCATTTGAGGGATAAACCCGGAGTCTGGCTCAAAAGGGGGCCCGCTTTGTTGCTTGGGGCTCTCTTTGGGAGTCTTTCGGGGGCTCCTTAAGGCTCCCCTGGGGACACATTGGAGGTCTAGGAGGCCATCTTGTGTGGAGGGCTTCACAGGGCTCCTCTGAGTTCCCCCTCTCTGAGTCCTCCTAATTAGGGCCCTCATGGGTGCCTCTTGGGATATCTCGGAGGCCTCTAGGGCCACCGTAGGCCCTCTTGGGGCGCTCCTCGGAGGTCGTGCTTCCGGTCTGATTGGGAAGGCCAGATTGGGCGCCCAAACGTTCGAGAATATTGTAATTCGTTGATCCGTTTAAAGCCTTCAGGACATCTATGCGGTTTCCTTCTGGGAGGCCCTGTTGGGATCATATGGGGGCCGCCTTTGGGTATCTTGGGAGCTGCTCTTGCCGCGTTTAGGAGACGTTCTGAGAGACCTGTGAAAACCGTCTTGGAGCGATCGGGTGAACTGCCTGCGTGCCTGCGAGCACTTCCAGGGCAGATAAGTCCGCCGAGTCGGTTGACTAGGACCCCCCTCCCTTCAAATTGGCCGGGCCGGGCCGGGCTCTCACTGCGAGGACCCAAAGAGGTCGGGCGAATTTTAGCGCACATCATAACAAAGAGCGATTGCCCGCCTCATTCTCTAAACTGCGCAAGGATAGCCTAACAAATCAGTCGGTGCGTAGGCTCCCGTGGCATCACATAGCTGTCCATGTTCCTTTCTTGTTATCCCTGTCACCCTTATCCTAGATCTAAGTATCCCTATCCCTAGATCCCTAGCCGTGTATCCCAATCCCGATCCCGATCCCCGTGGCCCCCTATCGTACTTGTGTAGAGCTGTTTAGGATGTTCTGCCACAGGGGTATCATGTTAATGGAGTGTTTGACATCGGCATGATGAGAGAAACCGTGTCCAGGTGTTGCAATGATCCGCGCATGCGCGCACGGTTTGATGCGGCGCCCCACATTGTAGAAGTTGCAAGGGTGTTTTGCGAAACGCGTGTCATATCAACGATTGCGCATTGCACGGAAATATTTGGCTTGGGTGAAAGGGCGAGCCGAGCTTGTGTGTCCAGGGACAATCATACGAAACAAAGATGATGAACGATCGTGCGTACCAAATTTTTAAAAATGCGCGGCGTGGATGTAAGCCATGCCTCGGCATGGAAATACATTCGAACTTTCTGCAGAGTAAGCGTTCTATGCAATCAGAGGTTTTAGGGCTCATCCTCGTCTTACATGTTGTCTCCCCTCATCATTCGTCGCCTTTCGGCGACCATTTTCCTTGCCGTCCTCTTCGGGCTGGTCCTCTCCACCTTCCTCCTCTATCGCTCCCCCCCCCCCGCCCGCCCCTCCCTCCCCTCTTCCAGCTTCCTCCTCCATCTCCTCCATCCTCTGCGGCAGACGAGTTCCCGTCATCTCTACGCGGTCCAACCAGCCCGCCCGCGTCGCCTCGCCTGGGGGTGTGCGCGGTCACGACGGCCGACGGCCGTGCGGCGGGCGGGTGCTCGCCGTCCTGAGGCGCGGGCTGGCGGCGTGCGGCTGCCGCGCCCCCGCGGACCGAACGCTGCGCCCCAGCGGCGGGGCCTCGTCCCCCCCGTTGCGGCGCCGAGGGTGGTGCGAGAGAGTCGGGACGATGTGGTGCATCAAAGTGACGCCTCGTTTGTTCCAGGGGCCTCGGTGCCACATCTGCCTCCGCCCCCCGCCCCTCCCGTAGTCGTTCTTCCCCTCCACAGCATGCCTCCCTGCCTCCATCCCCATCCATCCATCCCTCCCCCCCCGCGTCTCCCAATCCCTCCCCTTCTGTCCCTCCACTTCTACATCGCGCGCCCGCCCCCTTTCCCCTTTCATCCCCCCCCACTTACTCCCGCTCCCCCCCAACCCCTGCCCCGTGCTCCCGCCCCGTCCTCCTGCCCCGTCCCCGTTGCCTTCCCCCCGTTCCCCCGCCCCTGCCACTTGGAGTGGGCGACGCGGAGGTGGGCGGCGGGCGCCCTCCCGCGTTCCCCCCCCGCGGCCCAGGGATCAACCCGGAGATGCTGTGCAGCACCTCCATGCCTCCGCCGGAGCCGCGCCGCCCGTGCCCGAAACTCTCTCTGCAGCCGCTTCCCGTGATACCCAAACGTGTTGGGAACATCAGGGTGGCGAAGCGTATATGGTCGAGATCCCAGGGGCAGGAAGGCGGAGGAGGAGGAGGAGGAGGAGGAGGAGGAGGAGGAGGAGGGAGGAGGAGGAGGAGGAGGACCCTCTGCCTTTTCAGCGTGTGCAGTCAGACGGCGTGTGCCTGCCCCCCGCCCGGGGGGGCCTCTTGGCCTGCCCGCGGGAGGGCGCGGAGCGGCCGCAGCCCAACCCTCCTCCTCCTCCTCCTCCTCCTCTCCTCCCCTCCTCCTCCCCTCCTCTCGTCCTCCTCCTCGTCCTCCTCCTCGTCCTCCTCGTCCCTCCTCGTCTCCTCGTCCTCTCCTCGTCCTCCTCCTCCTCCCTCCCTCCTCCTCCTCCTCCTCCTCCTCCTCGTCCTCCTCCTCGTCCTCCTCGTCCTCCTCGTCCTCCTCGTCCTCGTCCTCCTCCTCCTCCTCCTCCTCCCCGCTTCCTCTTCACACCGCAGTTCTGCACCGCGTTGTCGCTGCCCGACTGCGCGTTCTGCTACCCTGGGACCCGGAAGCCGTTTGTCTCCTCGGCGTTCGTTTGGTGCGTCTTCTTCGCGTTGACCACGCCCGTCTTTCGGTTTCGTTCACGCAGCTCCTTCTGGGTTGCCTGCTCGTTTCTCTATGTCCGTGGTGGCCGTAGGGGTTCAATGACTTCGAGTTCGACGTACGTGCCTGGAAAAAGTACGTCGCGGAACGCCCGTATGGTTCCGCTGTTCTGGCTGCCGCATGGCTGCTGGGAGTTCGTGGCTTACCGGCCGTGTGCACGCCCTGCGTTACCGGGTGCCGCAGTTCTGCTTGACGTGGCTATGATACAGGAGGGGAAAAACACACAGACACAATGAATCATCGATTCCCAGGAAAAGATGGGAAAGTATGGGAAGTGGGGGGGAAGACAAAAACCCAGAAAATATTGGAAAATATGGGGAATCCTTTTGTTTGTGTGTATTTATTTGTGTGTCCCAGTTTCCCTTTAATGATACTGGTGTGTGTTGCCCCACGTTCCATTCTGGCCGCGTTGCGCCCAGTTCCGCTCTGAGCCGGGCGCCGCTCGCTTCGCACGGCGGCCCGTCTTAGCTCGCACGGCGTTCGGCTCGTCTTCGCGCGCCCGCGTGCCAAAAACATACCTTTGGAGAGCTGGCGAGAAAAAGGGACGAAGAGACACACATAGTGAAACAAAGCGGGCAAGCAGGGTGAACAGAGAGAACTCTGGAGCCAGGGAGTGGCCTTGGAGTGCCTCTTCGGGCCATCCCTGGGACCCGCGCGGGGGCGAGGGAGGAGGAGGAGGAGGAGGAGGAGGAAGAGGAAGAGGAAGAGGAGGAGGAGGAGGAGGAGGAGGAGGGGAGGAGGATGAGGAGGAGCAAGACGGCGTCTACGACGACCACGACCACGACCACGACCACGACGACGACGACGACGACGACGACGTTGACGTTGACGTTGACGCTGACGACGACGTTGACGACGACGACGACGACGACGACGACGAGGAAGAGGAATAATAATAGGAAGAGGAGGAGGAGGAGGAGGAGGAGGAGGAGGAGGAGGACGGAATACATTATAAGGAAGACGCTAAGGGCAAAGACGAGGAGGAGGAGGAGGAGGAGGAGGAGAAGGAGGAGGTGGAGGAGGGCACGAGGACAAGCCCCAAAATCGCTCTTTGGAGTCTTCTTGGCTCTCTTTTGGGAGATCGTGGGGCCCTATTGGGGCTGTTTTAGGGGGTCCTGGAGCCCTCTTGGAGCTCCCTTGAGGGTTGCTTTGGAACCCTGAGAAGTTTTTTGGGGCTATCGTGGAGCGCGTCGGTGGAAAAAAAAGTGGGGTCGTACCGCCAGGTCCCCACTTCGGGGCCCTCTAAATTGCCCCTTGGGGCACTCTTGGGGGGATCTTATGCGCTCTGGGGACCGCTTGGAGGACCTCTTGAGCCTTTCTCGGGGCTCTCTTGGGCAATCTGGGGGCCGCCTTCAGGCTTCAAAAGCGCATCGGAAGCGAAAGGGGGATAAGGCCAAATTCATGCATGTTCAACAGAAATCACTGAATGGTGTTGGCTTCTTGGGGGGGTCCCAAGGGGTCTCCGACAACATGTTGAACCATATTGTGGCCTTCTTGGGGTCACTTGGAGGCATGTCGGAAGGCAACGCCATCTAACCTGGGCCATCGTGCAGGCCATCTTGGAGCATGGGAGGCCTTCATGGAGCCACTTTGGACGAAAACGTATTCTATGCCACATAGCGGGGAGCGTATCCCTCCCCGAAGGGAAGAGAGTATTGGAAGAGGAAAGAAAGATACACTATCGCTGGACCACCTTAGCCCACAGGGATGGTGGGATTTCCCGTCGTGATTTGGTTCGCGGCGCGAGGAGGGCTGGGTGGCCCCCCCTTTGGCCCCCAGCGTCCTTCACCCCTCCCCAGCCCCTATCCCAATCCCCCCCTTTCCCCCGCCCCCTCCCCCCCCCGCCGCTGCCGCCCACGCGCGCAGGACTGGGCTGGAACGACCACCGTGATGATGAGGAACATACCGAACAAGTGCGACCCGCCCCCCACCGCCGTGCGCGCGCTCCCCTGACGGGTCTGTTTGGGTGCTGGTCAGCGGTACGCGCTGGTCGTTGAAAGTAGGTGCTTTTGGATTCCCAGGTCCCAGTCTACTTCAGGCGACTTCCTGCTTCGAGAATCGGCACGCCTTTGCTGTGGTTTGTTATTCCCTGGGGGGGCCTGGACCCAATCAACTTAATCCGCCTTCCTACTTCATGTGTCTACGGTAGGTTCGTGCGGCGTTGGCGTGCCAGCGACGCTGGCGAAGGCGTTCAAGGTTAAATTCTGCGACGCGGAAGCACCGATGGGCACGGTAATGCAACTGGACAAGATTGAATTGAACCTTGAACGATCGAGGCCTCGATCAATTCAAGGTTGAACGATCGACGCGGTGTCAAGAACCTTTGCGCGCGCCGACGCCTCGCGAACCTATTGTACCTTCTTATTTCGACCGACGTGTAACCTGGGCCGCCCAAGTGGGGCCCGAGGGTCCCACCGCACGGCGACCACCCGATCGCAGCGGCGACGCCAGCGCGGGCGTTCGAGAGTGAACCACCCTCGGGGGCACGCGCGAGAGACGGGCCCTGGAACACAGGACCTCCGAGAAAGGATGTCGCTCAAGGTCGGATTGCCCACAGGGTGTCAGGAAAGAGTTGCGCGCGGAGCAGAAAACACCATGGCCCCCATACCTCGCGTTTACGAGCATAGTTTCTTGGGTGTGGGGTATGTAGTCCTACCTCGTTCGGTTCCTTCCCCTGCTGTTTTTGCAACATGTGTCGCTGGCAGCCTCTGGGGGCCTCGGAGGACATCCAGGAACCTCTGGATGATGATGATGATGATGATGATGATGATGATGATGATGATGATGATGATGATGATGATGATGATGATGATGATGATGATGATGATGATCCAGGAACCTCTGGAGGCCGCCAGGGACTTTGGGGACCTCCGGGGAAGCTCTGCAGGAGAGGGGGGCCGCCCTCCAGCCCCCCTGTGTCTTCAGCGTCCTGGGCCTCCCGGGGCTCCCGAGCCACAGGACCGCCTAGAAAACGGATCGGATCAAAATGTTGCCTTGGCCGGGAAAATCCCAGGGTCTAGGATCGGGAGCCTCGAGACGGGGGTCAGTGCAAACGGGGGTCAGCCAGGGCGCCAGATCCTGCAGGATCCTGCAAAGACCCCCTCTGGCTGACCCGGGTTAGCGAGCCGCTCGTGGCCGCGAGGCGGCCGCGCCTATTGGCTGACCCGGGTTTGCGAGGACCTGCGTTGCAGTTTTTTTTCCTGCATTGCAGTTTTTGGTTTCCCGCTGACCCGGGTCTGTATTGACCCGGGTCAGAAGATCCCCGATAGGACCCGTGCGCATTTGTGTTGTGTGTATGTTTTCCCCTCCCGCGTTTCCCCTCCCCCCCCGCGTGCTTCGGCCTCGGCGACGCCCAGCGTGTGGCCTTGAGAAGGGCACAGGAGCCAGTCGGAGATCGTCCCCGGGGAAGTCTAGGACTCTCCAGGGGCTTCCAAAGGACGTGCAGAGACTTCCAGGGTCTCCCCCAAAGTAGTTCGGCGAAGCCAAGGATGTCCCCACGGGGTTCTCGCAGAAGGCCTCTACAACCCCGTGGAGGCGGCCAGAAGGCGCCTCAGCAAGATCTCCTCTGCAGTTACTCCGTCGCGTTTCTTCCTTGGCCTGTCAGTTCACAACGTTTGCTCGCGCCGCCCGTACACGGCGCTCCGCGGGACCCCTTCGGGCGCGGACTTTGCATGCCCACAGGCGGCGCCGCCGGCGCGCCAGGCGTGGAAGCGAAGGCCGATGGCCGCGGGCTGGCGGCGGGGGGCCGCGTGGTCCTGCGCGAGGAGCCCGGCCGCGGGGTCGCGGCCTTTGCCGCCAGGGACCTGGCGGCCTCGGAGCTCGTCCTGGAGGAGTCAGGAGGGAAAGAAACACACAGACACAATTAATCGTCGACTCCCCAGAAAATATAGGAAAATATGGGAAGTGGGGGGGGAAGACAAAAACCCAGAAAATATAGGAAAATATGGTCAATATTTTTATTTGTGTGTATTTATTTGTGTGTCCTGGGGCCCCTTCAAGGAGGAGGCGCTGCTGTCGTCGGCCCTCGGCGCGGAGGCCGCCGCGGGGGCCCCCGGCGGCCCCTGCCGCGAGCTCTGGCGGGCGCTCCTGCGGCAGGAGCGCGCGGGGCGCCTGGGCGCCTTCGAGCCCGCGGGGCACCTGGGGGCGCTGTGCGCCCTCCGGGCCCTGGGCCCGCGGCGGTGCCGCGAGGCCGTGCTCACCAAGACTCGGGTCGGGCGAAAGGGGGGGATTGGGAAAGGGGGGGTTACGAAATTTGCTGCATGCAGCTGGTTTCGGCCTCGCCGAGGGGCCCATTCCTCGATACATGGCGCCTCCGGCGCCGGGAGGCGCCGGGAAAATCAGCTACGTGAGCTGATTCTCAAACCCCCCCTTTGCTATCCCCCCCTTTCGCCCGACCCGACAGACCACCGGGGACCCCGCCGCGCTGCCCTCGGAGGGCGACGCGAGGCGGGAGGCGAGGGTCCTGCGCGCGGCGCTCGGCGAGGGCCTCGTGCCGCCGGAGGCCTCCCAGCTGACGCCGGCGGAGTTCGGGGATGGACAGAACCCCCAACAGTGACACGTCGATTAGTGAATTGTCCGTTTTCGGTTCTCGAGAGGGCGCCGTGGCCGTTATTTTCCAGGCTTGCGCCCGCCAGGTTTGGGCCTGAGGTCGTTTTCACTAAACCACGTTTTACTAAAGGGGGGTTTGTCCATCCCCGAGGAGTACGCGAGGCTGCGGCGGGTCTTCCAGCTCAACGGCTTCCGCTTCAACGGGCCGCTGGAGGAGGGCGACGCCGGGTACGACGTGGGCGAGGTCCTCTTCCACGACATCAGCCGCTTCAACCACTCGTGCGCGCCGAACCTCAGCTTCGACCTCCGGTGGAGCAGGGGTCGGGGGCGGCCTGAGCGACCCCTGGCAACTCGACCCCGTCCGTGACGGCCCCCTCACCTCGCTTCACGACGTGGGCAGGCGGCCGGAGGGGAGCCTCGACGGCGCGGGGGTCGTCACGGGAGGGGCCTGTCACAGAAAGGGTCGGCCAGGCCGCGCCCGAAGGCGGGGCGCGTCCGTCTTCGTCGTCGTCCTGCTGCGTCTTCTGGGAAGAATTATCCCAGCCAGGGTTGGCCAGAGGGATTCGTTGGGAGGGAGGGCCAGGGGGGTTGCCCGGGATAAGCCGGAGAGTTGGTCGGGGTAATTCTTCGATGGGTCGTTCTCTCCACGAGGCAGGGTGCTACTCCACCCCCTCTTACGAGGAAAAATCCACCCCGACCCCGATAATCGGCGTTTGCTAAACGGCCCCGTGCGTTTACTAAACAGCGCTTTCTTGTTCGATTCCTTCGTCGGGTGCGTTTACTAAACGGTTGCGTTGTCGGGGTGCTTATATTCGGGGTTGATCTCCGGCCCTCTATTCTTGCCCAGAGGGTCTCTTGCGGGGCAGGGCGCGAGTGACAGTGAGCAACGACCCCCTGTCCCCTCGCGTGAGGGCCACGGGCGCCAGAGGCCCGCCCGGGGGGGGCGGCCGCCCTTTCCCCCCATGACGATCCTTATCGATATTCCATTCTTCAGGGGGGAAAGACAGGCAGAGATTCAAATCATCGCAGCTTCCCATGAAACGATGGGAAACTATGAGAAGTAGAGGGGAAGGCGAAAGTAGTCCAGAAAATATTCGAACATATGGGAAATCCTGGGTTTTGTGCCCATTGGGAAGCCCTTGCGGCCAGTGCCGCCGACCCTCACGACGACGACGACGACGACGACGACGACGACGACGACGACGACGGCGACGGCGACGGCGACGGCGACGGCGACGGCGATGGTGACGGCAACGGCGACGGCGACGGCGTGGTGCAGAGTCCTCAGGGATGATTCGTGGGGCCTCGTCGGAGCGCGCTCGTCGTCGTCGTCGCTCGTCGCCCGTCGCTTGTCGCTCATCGTCGTCGTGCGCGCGAGCGCGGCTGTGGTGCCGCAGCCGCACGGCGGGGGGGGTGGGCGTTACGTGGTATACCCCCCCCGTGCCCCCCCCCATGACGCCCCTCATCGCCGATGATAAAGAAACGCGTTCTTGCACCCCCCCCCCGGACGACGCCCAAGCGGACTTTCCAACCGGCAGCCCCGAGCACGCAAGGTCGACCAACCTAGAGAACACAACGCCCAGCAGTTGTTGCAACTACAACAACCGCAGCAGTGACAACGACAGCAGCAACAATTCGGAAGACATCGAGACAGAATTAGGGGCTAACTTGGTCAGGAGATCGACGCGCCCAGCCAACGCCAGAGCAAAGAGAGCGGGTTTGCCGTATATCAAAATCGAACGATTGACCGATGGCAGCGACGCGCCGCCATTTGGGAACTTCCGTTGCACGACACGCGCCACGCCCAACGAAGACACGGAGGGCAGCGAAACATATGGGACCATGATGTCGCCAGTTTCTCGGAGTTTACGAACTTGGTGCAGAACAGCGCAAGAGCACCCAACGACATTCGTTGTCGATGGTGGTTTCATCTCGCCTGCGTCAGATACATGCGGCACAGGTTGGAAGGACAACGCATTACCCCACACATGCGACGATTGTGTTTGCAAGCTTGGTCGAGGCAAAATGAACACCGACACCACACGGTGTCAGGGTCCTGGCCCCCCAGCGCTGATTTTGAAGGGTCCCGTTCCCGCGGATCTGTGCGTTTTGCTTCGTTATTTCCCTTCTTCTTGCGTGTTCATGCATCTCCTCCTCATGCATCCGCTCGGGACGATTGTGGATTCCCCAGAACGCGGTCGACGAGTTGGAGCTGATGGGAAGGCCCCCGAGGGTCCGCAAACCTCAATAAACCTTCTAACAGAAAACATGTTTCCTCCCGAGCTTGCCACCCTCCGCTCGGGAAGTAGTAATCTCCGACGCATCCAGATGGAAAACAGCAAGGAATCGGAGGCCCGAGCTTGCAAACATGGATCCCATGATTCCGCATTCCTGCGCTTCCCCTCTCTCCCTCCCCCCTCCCCCCCTCCAGGGACTTGACCCCCACCAGGGGGCCTTGTCACGTATTGAGTATTGAGTGTTGAGCCCTTCCTCCCTCTCGTCATCCTCCTCCCCTGCCCCTTCCCCTCGGGAGCTACTCTGCGGCTGGGCCGGGTTTGCGGTTGGCCCGGGCTGTGTGTCGTGTGGACGCGGCGGCGACCCCGCAGCGGGCGTTCAAGATTGAATGCCGCCAGTGCTTTAGAATCAATCGACCAGTGAGGAACGATTTGAAGATCGAAACGTTGCCGATCGTTGAAGATTGAATGGCCCACGTGGTGCCAGAGACCAACGCCAAAGTCGTCACGACAGGAATTTGCCGTAGTTTTTGTTGGCGGTCCCGGGGTCAGGTAAGGGCCCCCAGAGCAGGACAAGTCAGAAATGATTTCAGTCGGGGCTTGGCACCCCGGGAGCGTCGTCATCCTGCTCCTCGTGCCGGTGTCGCTGTCGGTTTCGAAGTTCGGTTCGACCGCAGCGGTCCCCCGCTCCTCCTCCTGCTCCTGCTGCTCCTGGTCATCCTCGTCCTCCCGTGTCTGCTCCCCCCTCGAGCGTCGTCCCCCCTGCCCCTTTCGGTGGAGCGAGCAGCGGGGCACCGTGGTCAACCGCGTGACCGCCACGCGCGCGGTCGTCACGGGCGAGGAGCTCCATCGAGATCGTCTCGGCCCCCTCATACCCTCCCTCCCTCCACTCTCTCCCTCCACGCCTCCCTCTTGGGGAGGGAGGGAGGGGTGGGAGGGGTGGAGGGAGGAAGCGGAGGTCCAGAAGAAGGGACGCAGAACAAGAAGAAGGAGCAGAAGCAGAAGGTCTTCTTGATGCTGACTCCTCTTCTGCGGTCCCTCCTTACCCTCCGATACTGATACTCCCTCCCTTCCCCTCCCATCCTCCCCCTCCCTCCCTTCCTCCCTCAACTCGCCCCCCTTCCTCTCCCTCGTCGTGTTTGTCCCTCCCCCTCCTCTGCGTCTTCCTCTCCGCGTCCCCCCCTCCCCTCCACTCCTCTTCTCCGTCCTCTTCTTTTCCTCTTTGGATCCCCTTCCCACTCCTTTGACAGAGCTTGAAGCGCTCGGCTGCGATGCTTCGGAGCAGGCACGCTGAGCAGAGTCAGGGGGGACGGACGACTATCATAGTAGCGGCAACGAGGTTCCGCATCGGCGCACCGCAGGCAACATCACGGCCCGAGGCGCAGAGGCCTGCTCCAGAGGAGCCTCGACAACTATCCCTTATATCCCCCCTCGGTAGCCGTTTTGGCTCAAGGGGCGGCCCCCCCTGGAGCGCAGCGGCTGCGGCTGCGGGCATGGCTGGGGGCCATCGCGCCGAGCGCGAGTGGCACGGCGGGGGCCGCCCCGCCGCGGCCTCGCTCGCGGCCGGGCCGCTGAGGCTGCGGTGGCCCGCCGGCTGCGGCCTGGCCGCTGCGGCGGCCTGGCTGCTCGGGCGCGGGCGCCGGAGCCGGAGCCTGGCGCGGCTGCTCGCGGCCCTCGGGGCGGCCGCCTGGGCGCGCTCCGCGGCGCTCTGGTGCCTGGGCCTGGCGGCGCGCCGGCGCCGCCGCTTCCTGTGCGTGGCATCGCCGCTGCCGGGGTCGGCCGTGAAGCTGGCGCGCCCGCTGGGCCCCGCGGCGGGCGCGGCGCGGCGGTGGCCGTGGTCTGCGCTGCCCGAGCGCTGGAGGGGCTTCTGCCCGAGCTGCAAGCGGCCCGTCGAGCTGTTCCAGTGCGAAGAGTGGCACCCTGCGACGGCTCTGCAGGACGCCCGGGGCAGATATGCCTACGTGATCTGTCTCTGGGGCTCCTCGGTCGAGTTCCTGATCGGCGCGATGGTGCTCGGGCGTTCCCTCGTGAGGTCGGGCTCCAAGCACTCGCTCGTGTGCCTGTGCGCAGACGACGTGCCGCCAGGCTTTGTGCCCGTGCTTTCGCACTTCTGGGACTGCCGCCCCGTCGCCCACGTGCAGGCCTGCATGCGGACCCTGAGCTTCTCCGAGGAGGCGGACCGATTCGAGAAAGTGTTCACCAAGTTGCGTTGCCTCGAGCTTGTGGAGTTTGAGAAGGTCCTCATGATGGACATCGACCTCTTGGTTCGGTCCAACATTGACGAGCTGTTCGAGCTCCGGCCCCCCGCCGCTATGCGGCGCGGCAACAACACTTTCAATTTGAAGACCGGAGACCAGATAGACGGTCGCCCGTTCTTCCTGGGGAGCGACGGTACCAAGTGGTCGTGGGGCCAGGGTACTGGAATCAACGCTGGGGTGATGTTGCTTCAGCCAGATCTCGCGGTCTTTGAGGAGATGCTCCGCGAGATTCAGGAGCCCAATCATCCTGAGCACTGCAAGGGAAACGGCCCCGAGCAGGACTTCTTGAGCAGGTTCTACGCGGACGCGCCGTGGACGCACATCGGCGTGGAGTACAACTTTCAGCTTCATCAGATGTACTACGCCCTGCACCCAGACCGCGCCCCGCGTGCGGAGCGCGTTCGCCTGGCCGTGGAGCGGGAGCGCGTGAAGGTGGTCCACTTCTCTGGGGAGCCCGCCGCGAAGCCGTGGCACCGCGTGCTCGACAGCCGCTGGGCAGGATATTGGCCGGAGCGTGCGCGGGACGGCGAGTACGCGGAGCTCTTCGCGGAGGAGTTCCTTGGGCACCTGTTGTGGGTGAAGAAGGATCGGGCCGCGTTCGAGTCCTCCGGCAGGGGGCAGAACAGCTGGGACGTGTACGGCATGAGCCTGGACTCCCGCGGGCGCATCTGGCGCAGGGCGTGGGGCGAGGAGGACAAGCCCGCGGAGATCGTGGGAACGCCAGCATTCGCCGCGGAGGGCGTCGCGCAGTTCACGGCGACCGTTCTGCGGGAGTGGTTCGACGATCTACAGGCGCTCGAGGCCGAGCTGGGCTGCGACCTCCGCCAGAGGCTCGAGGACATCTGCGCTGTGAGACGCTACGGAGTCCCTCTCGCGTCTCGGCAGGGGGCCGCGCCCGGTCAGAGCGACGCTGCCGCTGGAAACGGCCACGTGCTGCACCAGGCCAGGGGCCTCGAGAGGGGCACGATCGAGATCGAGGGCGGGGAAGCGATCGGGCAGCTTGCGAGCGCTGGCGCGCCCAGCGCCGCTGAGGCCGTCGCACACCTGACGCTGGAGCGCGCGTGGCGGCGGCACGGTGGCCCAGGTGGTTGGTGGACAGACAGCGCAGGCCTGGCTGGCGACGATGCCGTAAAGGTTTCCGTCGTGTGCGGCGCGCCCGGGGGCGCGCGGTTTGTCACGTTCACGGAGGGCGGAGCGGCCACCTTCACGGAAGAGGACCCCGACCTGGCCGGCGTCTTCGCCAAGGTGGTGGGCCAGCACGCCCCGCGGCAGTTCTCGGTGCACGAGGACCCAGACAGCGCCCTGGCGTCGATGCACATGTGGGTGAGCGGGGTGCCCGCTGGCTCCGCCGTGCTGCTGGCGCTGCTGCGGCTGCCGCCCGAGGCCGTGGCGGCCGCGCTGGCGGTACTGGCCCCGCTGGGTTTGCTTCGGGCGCCGCCGCCCGAGGCCTGCGTGGCACTGGCGGCGGTCGGGCTGCGGCCGGAGGGCGGCGGCGAGGGCGCGGAGCAGCAGGATGGTCGTCCGGCTGGGCGGCCGCCCCGTCGTGGAGCCGAGGAGTTCTCGGTCCACGCCTCGGAGGACGTCGCGTACGCCTCTGCTCAGCTGCTCCACGTCGCCTGACCACGGGCGCATCGGCGGAGGGAGCGGGGGGATGGAGGACCCAGGCCAGAGCCTGGGGCCTGGTGGGATTCAGAGCGCGTGGCGGGTCCCAGACTCCTCATCCTCTTCCCTTGTCACCCCCTTTGGCGGGGAGGAGGGGCCCAGGCCTCCAGCGGATTGATGTTTTCAGTCCAGGCGTTTGTTCCTCGATTCCAACGTCTGGGGGTCACTTTGGTTCCCAGGGCACTGATTCAAACATAGTCCGGGACTGTAGATATTCCAATGGAAGAGGCCCAGACGGGGCCCGCGGATGGAACCATATTTCCATCGAGTTTGTGGGATGTTGATCGAGGCGGCCAGATTGGGGTTGAGCGATGGAGCGGAAACAAGTAGCAGTTCTTGTCCAGTTGGGTCTGGGTTCGTTGCTGGTATCGCCGCGGACATCGCCCGCTTGTAACGGGAAAGCGCCCGCCCAACAGCGGCCCTTGTCGGTTTGGGGCAGCTTTTGTTGCTGTTGGGCGTCGCCCTCGTTTTTCCAAACGTGGGGCGTTCAAAGGGGAGGAGGAAAGGAAAGGAAAGGTGAACCATACGCCCTAGGGCGCGTCGGCGCGGCTCAGGCGAGCACGAAAGACTGGTCGATCAGAAAGCACACGAACTCCATCTTTGCCACATGCTCGAACAGCGTGCGGATGTAGTTGTTTGGCCCATTCTAGCTGGGGGGCCCGATTTTTCGAATGTACATGTCGTTCACAGGCGTCAGGGTTCCGGGGTAAAACACAGAGTCCCGCAGAGGACATTGTTCTCCTCCTTGCGCAGCATTGCAGTACAAGTCCAACTGGTGCTTCAGCAGAATGTCGGTGATAGGCTTCTGCGCAATTCTCCGGCGCACCTCTTCATTTGAGACGCGGGATACCATGGAATGTTTGATCCCACAAATAGACCTCAACATCCGGTCTTGGGCCCCGTTCAAACGCCTACGCTCTGCAGCGTTCAACCAGACGGTGCTGAGGCCGCACAACATCTTCGGCACCACAATGGCGTTGAACAGCTCAATTTTCCTGTGTAAAGAGATGGATGTGTGGGCCCCACGCTTGAAAGCGGCGAGTGCCATGCCAGTTCGCCTCGTTATCTCTGCGCATGCCCGACCATCGCTGCTGATTGTGGTGCCCAGGAAAGACAGCGTGTCTGAAGCCTTGCACCGGACTCGTAGTAACTGAAGCTTGCCCCAGTGCATCTCCAGCCCCACTTGCGCCGCAGAGTCGCATACTGCTTCAAGCCACTGTTCAACGTCGCCGGCGGTCCTGGCCATGAGCAGAGTGTCGTCAGCGTACACGAGCTGTCCGAATTGGCCTGGCCGCGCTGGCTGCAATGCAGATTCTGCGTCGTGCATCACAACAGACAGTGAATTGACCATAATGAACAGAAACGGCGAGAGCGGGCAGCCCTGGAAGATGCCGGACCGCTGGCCCTTCTTCTCCGACGCGACGCTTCTGTCACGAACAACGAAGGTGCGATCTTTGTGTATGCTTTGAATGACATCCAACACGAACTTGGGAAGGCCAAATCTCTCCAGAGCGGCGAGCATTGCAGAAGTTTTTCACTGAATCGAATGCCTGCTTCCAATCTAGTGCCAACGCAAAAAATGAACCCACCCAAGTACACTGCTTCCCTGACGGATGTGATATTTTCGCCCGTGGGTCTTCTCACTTCTCCCATTGATGATTTGTATCATTTGCGCTGTTTTGTCCGAATTGAGTTCCATGCCATATTTACGGCCTTCCGACACAATGGATTCAAGCATGAGCTGTAAATTCCCGGGGTGTTGCGATGTCAATAGAGTGTCGTCTGCGTACAAAATGTCTTTGGTGACAACATAATCTTGCTCTGGTTGCAGCTCCAGCGAGTCCAAAGCGTCGTGCAACATCACGCTTTGAACAGCAATGAACAAGTAGGGGCTGAGGGGGCAACCTTGGGCGATACCTGCAGGTTGCTTTCTCTCCGAAGAAGTCCCACAGTGGTCAACAATAGTGAAATACCGCTCTGCGTATGTCCCGCGAATCATATTGACAACTGGCGGTGGTAGTCCAAATCTTTCCAGGGCCATGCACATGTTGTCGGGCTTCAGGCGATCGAAGGCTTTCGCCCAGTCTAATAATGAAAATAATAAGCCGTCCCCATTGTTCATATGAGCTGCATCCACCATCCTCCTGACTAACATCAAGGCGTCTGACGTGCCACGATTTGGGCGGAAACCGAATTGGGATTCTCGCATTCTCCGCTCGCGCCCACCATCTAAGAGTCTCTGGTGTAACATCGAAGCCAATGCTTTGTAGCCCACGGCCAAAAGGGATATCGGTCTGTAGTTGCTCGGTAGAGTAGCGCCCCCTTTCTTGGACAACGGCACCACATTGGCTCGCCTCCACGTGGATGATATGTTCTTCGCCTCCCAGCATTGTTGGCACACGCGCAGGAGTGCTCCGCAGGCATATGTGTCTCCAGCAATAACTTTCCAGAACTCCTCGGGCACGTCGTCAGGTACAGCTGCTTTCTTATGTTTGATCTTCTTTATCGCTGTCTGGAGCTCTTCTAAGAAAAACGTGTCGGTGTTGATCGCCAAAGTGGCCCCCAGCATCTCGGTGTCCGTGGGCACCACGTCGGCAAAGCATACTCGCCATTGCACCTCCTCGAAATACTCTGCAAGGGTGTCTGGCCTGGCCGAAGTATCGGACAGATTCCCACTCAAGTCGTTGACACCCACGTGCTTGCGAGGAGCATGTCTTCGTAGTTGCTTGACCGCGTCCCAGCTGCCAGAAGAAATTAAACGATCCGACCAGGCCGCACGATCGTTCTTCCCAGCTTTCCGTATCAGTCTGTGTAGCCGGAGCTCGTTTTTGTAATCCCCTGATTTGCGGTAGGCGTTCCTCTCGGCAATGAGTTCCAAAGTAGACGCGCTTGTCCCGGGCTTCCGCGGTCGTATTTCACAGCTTGGAAAAGCGGCAGCGGCGGCACCCAAAGGTTGCTGTATATTCTCCGCGGCCTGGTCCAGAGAAGGGGTCAAAGGTAGGTCCACGATGGCATTTGAAAATGCCGCAGTGAAGATCTCCTGGGTATGCTTGTCTGCCAGAGCACCAACATTCTTCTTCTTCTTCTTCGGCGCGCCGGCCCGTGAGGATCGTTGAAATTCCAATTTCAGCGTGGCGCATGTTAGAAAATGATGACTAGTAAGGGTAGCTGCCCGTGTAGACCAGCATTCTTCCATGCATGCAAGTATCGAAGGATGGCATACAACGTGATCGATTTGAGAGAAGCATGCCGCAGGCGCCAAAGTTTAACACATTATATCACGAGCCTGCCGCAGGCTCCGAATTTTTCGTTAAACCAATGTGGGCAAGTCGCAAATGGGTCGCGGGTGGGTCGTTGTTGGGTCGCGGGGTGGGTCGCATGTGGGTCGCGGGTGGGTCGAGGGGGGGTCGCGGGTGGGTCGCAAGCGGGTCGACAGTGGGTCGCGCGGGTGGGTCGCGGGGTGGGTCGCGGGTGGGTCGCGGGGTGGGTCGCGGGTGGGTCGCGGGAGGGTCGCGGGTGGGTCGCGGATGGGTCGCGGGGTGGGTCGCGCGGGTGGGTCGCGCGGGTGGTTTACGGGGTGGGTCGCAAGTGGGTCGCGGGTGGGTCGCGCGGGTGGGTCGCGGGTGGGACAACGACAATAAACAGCAACATCATCAACGCAACAACCAGAATCCTCACCACGGATCCCCTCTTCAGCCACGCACCCAGGGACAATGAATGACCGTTCGGCCCCCTCACTCTGATATCCCTAGCCTTTGACAGGGTCGGCGGGGGTGCCAGCATATGGCCTGCTGTGCGCAGGCTTACCATCCCTGCGAAACAAACACAATCCAAACTGCTCTTTGCGTCTAAATCTGAATCATGCACGGGCACTCCGCGATCACGTTGCATTTGTTATTGACAGGGACAGCGAGGGTGCTGGCACGTTGCTTGCTGTGAGCAGGCCCACCAGACATCATGATTTCACACTCTGCGCGTGCCTCGAATGTCTCGCACCTGACGAGGTTGGAGCATGCGGTACACTTGGCGCACGTGTATCACGTGGCACATACGTTTGGGCGTCCGGGGCGCGTGGCGCGCCTGGCACGCATGGCGCGCCTGGCACGCATGGCGCACCTCGCCTGTGCGCCGCGCACTTGGTGTCCGTATTTGCTCCCGGTAGCTGCCCATCCAACGACGACCGCTAGTGTGTTGAGACTCGGGTACTACTGATGTGTTGCCAGGGCGGCTGGGGGTGAGCCAAACAGTTTGCGTCTGGTGGAGGTGTCTTGATCCCTATCCCTGTCCCGATCCCCCCATCGTGGCCCTCCATCGTGACCCCCATCGTGGCCCCCATCGTGACTGCGCAAAGCTGTTCAGGGTCGTCTGCCACAAGGGTGTCATGACGGCCTTAGGGCGCGGTGAGCCCGGCCCCCCCCATCGGGGCCCGAATAGGTGTTTTGAAGCCACGCGCAACATGCTTCCGTCATTGCTGCCGGAAGAAGCATGCTTGCAAAATCCTTGTCTCCCCCCGTCTCAGGAGTTGCGGATCTCCTACCTGCCCCGCGAACCGCCGCTGTCGGCGGCGGAGCGCAGGAGGCAGCTCCTGGAGCTCCCGGGGGGGCGCTGACGCCGGCGTTTCCGCCGTCGCCGTCGTCGTGGCCACTCGACAGGCGGGGCTCCCGCGGGGGAAGGGAGCTCTAGGATCCCCACGAAGAATGTGATCCTCAGGGCCCAGGGCTTCTCGAAGACGCCTACGTCGAATAAACCGCCGCCCCTGCCAGTTGGAATCGCCCATGTGGCCGAGAGATGTGATAAGAGTTCTGCCAAGCTATCGGAACAACCCTGCGGGGAACATGTGGCAGAGGATGGCGGGGAAGATCAGGAGGAGGAGGAAAACGGAGGGGGCATCTCGGGAGCCTCTGGGGGCACTCTTGGGGCCTCCTGGGAGCTTCTTGGGAGCCTCTTGGATGCATCTTGGGTGCCTCCCTCCTTGGGCCCTCCTGGGAGGCTTCTCGGGGGCCTCTTTCGCCGTCTTATGGCATTCCTGGCCCGTCTGACGCAGTCGGAAGCCGTCTTGGGGGCCTCTCTGGGCCGATTTAGGGCCCTCTTGGGGTGCTCCAGAGCCGAGGCCATCTTGGGCGACTTGGAGGCCTCTTGGGTCAGTTAAGGGCCCTCTTGTGGGTTTCTTGGGCCGTCTTGGACACCTCTTGGCGGCCTCGTAGGCCATCTTGAAGCCATCGTGGGCCGTCGTGATGGCCTCCTGGCCCGTCTGACGCTGTCGGAAGCCGTCTTTGGGGGCCATTCTGGGCAGACTTGGGGCCCTCTTGGGGTGCTTCAGGGCCGTCCTGGAGGCCATCTTGGGCTTTTTGTTTGCCCTTTGGGCCGTCTTGGGGGCCTCTTGGGGCAATCTTGGGGGCCTCTCGGGCCGTTATGGGGCCATCTTGGCTGTTGGGCGATCGTGGGGCGATCTTTGGAGCTCTTGGGCCGTCTCGGGCCATCGGAAGGCCGAACAGGAGCAACTGCCAACATCATCCAAACACCGATGGCAAATCAATGATGTTGGCCTCTTCAAGCTTCCTGGAGACCCTCTTGGGGGCCTCTTAGGCCGACTTGGGCACCTCTTGGGGGCCTCTTAGGCCATCTTGGAGCCCTCTTGGGCCGTCGTGATGGCCTCTTGGCCCACCTGACGCTGTCGGAAGCCGCCTTTGCGGGCCTCTCTGGGCCGATTCGGGGCCCTCTTGGGGTGCTTCAGGGCTGTCTTCGAGGCCATCTTGGGCGTCTTGGAGGCCTCTTGGGCAGTCTTGGTGCCCTATGGGGCCATCTTGGAGGCCTCTTGCGCGATCTTGGGGTGATCTTTTGGGGCCTTTGGGCCGTCCTCTTGGGGGTTTCTTGGGCCGTCTTGGATACCTCTTGGCGGCCTCTTAGGCCACCTTGGAGCCCTCTTGGGCAGTCGTGATGGCCTCCTTGCCCGCCTGACGCTGTCGGAAGCCGTCTTTGGGGGCCATTTTGGGCCGACTTGGGGTCCTCTTCGGGTGCTCCAGGGGCGTCTTCGAGGCCATCTTGGGCGTCTTGGAGGCCCCTTGGGCCGTCTGGGGGACCTCTTGGGGCAGTCTTGGGTGCCTCTCGGGCCGTTATGGGGCCATCTTGGAGGCCTGTTGGGCGATCGTGGGGCGATCTTTGGAGCTCTTGGGCCGTCTCGGGCCATCGGAAGGCCGAACAGGAGCAACTGCCAACATCATCCAAACACCGATGGCAAATCAATGATGTTGGCCTCTTCAAGCCTTCCTGGAGGTCCTCTTTGGGGCCTCTTGGGCCGACTTGGGCACCTCTTGGCGGCCTCTTAGGCCACCTCGGAGCCATCTTGGGCCGTCGCCGTCTTTGCGGGCCTCTTTGGGCCGATTTGGGGCCCTCTTGGGGTGCTTCAGGGCCGTCTTGGAGGCCATCTTGGGCGTCTTGGAGGCATCTTGGGCAGTCTTGGGGCCCTATGTGGCCATCTTGGAGGCCTCTTCGGCGATTTTGGGGCGATCTGTGGGGGCTTGTTGGCAGTCGGAGGGCCGAAAAGCAGCAAATGCCAACATCCTTCAAGAACCTATGGGAAATCAATGATTGTTGCCTCTTCGGGCCTTCCTGCAGGACCTTTTGGAGGCCTCTTGGGCCGTCTTGGAGACCTCTTGGGGGCTCCTTGGGCCGTCTTAGAGCCATCTTCGGCCGTCTTGATGGCCTCCTGGCCCGTATGACGCTGTCGGAAGCCGTCTTGGGGGCCTCTCTTGGCCGACTTGGGGCCCTCTTGAGGTGCTCCAGGGCCGTCTTGGAAGCCACCTTGGGCGTCTTGGAGGCACCTTGGGCCGCCGTGCGGCCCTCTTGGGGCCGTCTTGGGGGCCTGTTGGACCGTCATGGGGCCATCTTGAGGCGATCTCGGGGGCCTGTTGGGCCGTCTTGGGCTGTCGGAAGGCCGAAACTCAGCAAATACCATAATCCTTCAACAACCAAAGAAACACACATGATTTCGGCCTCTTCGGGCCCTCCTGGAGACGTCTCGGGGGCGTCTTGGGAGCCTCTTGGACCGTCTTGGGCCATCTTGGAGGCTTCTTGGGCGGACTCGGAGCAGCCATCGTGGAGCCATCTTGGGTCGTCTTGGTAGCTTATTCGGCGGACTAGGAGGCAACTTGGACCATCTTGGGTTTTCCTGGAGGCAATGTTGGGCCAACGTGATCATCTTAGAAGCCATCTTGCGCCGTCGTGGAGACTTGTTTGTGGACATTGAGGTCGTTGGCGCGGCCTTCTGGATGGCCGGCGCGCTGGGCCGGAGCTCCAGGGGGAGATTTTAAAGGACCGAAGACCTCCTGAAGTCTGGCACGCCGGGCCCCCCTGCGACAAGCATAGGGGGCGGCGGATATCGAAGACGCCTACGGCGAATCACCTCCGCCCCCCCCCCCTCTAGAATCGCCCATGTGGCCGAGCGCTGTGGCAAAAGCTCTGCCAAGGTATCGGGCCATGTGTTCCCCCAACCGTTGTGGAAACCCTTCGGGGAACACTTGGAAGAGGATGGCGGGGAAGATCAAGCGGAGGCGGAGGAGGAGGTGGAGGAGGAGGAGGAGAAGGAGTGGGCATCTTGGGAGCCTCTGGGGACACTGTTGGGGCCTCCTGGGAGCTTCCTGGGAGCCTCTTGGCTCTTTGGGGACTTCTCGGGGCCTATTTGGCCGTCTTGGTGGGCTCCTGGCCCGTCTGACGCCGTCGGAAGCCGTCTTGGAGGCCTCGCTCGGCCGACTTGGGGCTTTCTTGGGGTGCTCCAGTGCCGTCTTGGAGGCCATCTTGAGCGTCTGAGAGGCCTCTTCGGCCGTCTTGGGGGCCTCTTGGGGCCGTCTTGGGGGCCTCTTGGGCGATTTTGGGGCCATTTTGGAGACCTCTTGGGAGATCTTTGGGGGCTCTTAGGCCGCCTCGGGCCGTTGGAAGGCAGAAACGATAAGAAATGCTACAATCCTCCAAAAAACTCAGGGCCTTCCTGGAGGCCCTCTTGGAGGCCTGTTGGGCCGTCCTGGGCCATCTCTTAGGGCCATCTTCGGCCGTCTTGGTTGGCTGCTGGCCCGTCTGACGCCGTCGGGAGCCGTCTTTCGGGGCCTCTCTGGGCCGACTTGGGGCCCTCTTGGAATGCTCCAGGGCCGTCTTGGAGGCCATCTTGGGCGTCTTAAGGTCTCCTGGGCCGTCTTGGGGGCCTCTTGGGCCGTTCTGGGGCCATCTTGGAGGCCTCTCGGGCGATCTTCGGGCGATTTTCTGGGACTCTTTGGCCGTCTCGGGCCGTCGGAAGGCCGAAAAGAAGCAAATGTCAAAGTCCTTCAAAAACCTTGAGAACATCAATGTTTTTGGCTTCTTCTGGCCGTCGGGGAGGCCCTCTTGGAGGCCGCTTGGGCAGTCTTGGGCCGGTTTAGAGCCAACTTCTGCCATCTTGGTGGGCTCCTGGCCCGTTGACGCCGTCGGAAGTCGTTTTGGAGCCCTCTCTGGGCCGTCTTGGGGCCCTATTGGGCCGCTTCAGGGCCGTCTTCGAGGCCATCTTGGGCGTCTTAGAAGCCTCTTGGGCCGGCTTGGGGCCCTCTTGGGCCTCTTGGGCCGTCTTCGGGCCATCTTGGAGGCCTCTTGGACGCTCTGGGGGCGATCTTGGGTGCCTCTTGGGCCGTCTGGGGCCGACGGAAAGCCCTAAACGCGCAAATGCCAACATCCTTAACACACCGAAGGAAAATGTATGATTTTGGCCTCTTCGTGCCTTCCTGGTTGTGCGCATTGGAGGCCTCTTGGGGGCCTCTTGGCCCATCTTGGAGGCATCTTGGGGGCCATCTTGGCCGTCTTGGAGGGCATCTTGTGCCGAGGCCCAGGTGAATGTGCCCGGGCCTCTTAGAGTCGATGATCCTCCGAACGTGTGTTAGCCCAATGTGTGCTATCCCCCCTCAGCTCCGCCGATAACTCGCAGTTCCTGACAGTCATCAGTGCGCAGAAGCATGTGTTGCGGGGCCTCGTCGGGGCCCCGCAGGAGTCGTCTTTTCAATGCGGCTCGCCTCTTGCCCTTACTCAAAAATTGACCCTCAGCTCCTCCTCCCGTCCTTATCCTCTTATTTCCTCCGTCGCCTTAATCCCCTTCCTCCCCTTCCCCGCCGACAGGTGGTGCACATTACCGACGCAACTTTCCGTTATTGACGTAACCCTTTCCGTCAGTAAGGTGTTTGTCGACGTAGAACTAGCATCGTGTTGTCGGTCGTTCAGAGAAACCGACGCAATTTTCCGTTACCGGCGTAACGTTTTCGTTAGTAACGGAATTGCCCCGTTGGTAACGTAAACGTTCCGTCGGTTCCGTTAGTTCCGTCAGTTATTTGCGCGGCTTGTGGCAGAGTTTGGCTCCCGCGGCGCACGCAGGACACGTGCTTTTCCCGCCAATCTAATCTGAGTCACCCGCGTTTTCCGCACTGGACTTCGCGCGCGGCACCTGCGACCCACCAGCATGCTGAGTCGCTCTGTGACGCGCGCACATGTGCGTTTACACAGCGTGCAAGTTACCGATGGGGCTTCTGTGGATAAACACACGTTAGCATTAACACACGCTCTAAGGTTCTGAGGATCACCCATAGAGACTCCTCAGGA